AAATCCAAACCACAGCGCTGTACCAGCTACTAGGAAGAAAATTAACTTTACCCCAGCCAAACCCAGGACAGACAGACAGACAGTTGGTTTTCCTCTCTGTTATCAAGGACCGAGCACATGCTGAGCACTGTGTAGCTTTGGGTATTACACAGTTCTCATCACAGGAGTCTCTTAAGCACTGTATAATGAAAGTAACCTAACTTTTATGTATCAGAGGTTTGAAGCTTTTTGCTGTCGTAACTGCTTTAAAATACAGTTTCTCTTTGTCAGTGGATGCTGCTTCCTTAAAAGGTACCAAACACTTTGCTGAAGTTTGATCTTTTAATTCTGCTGTATGTGACATTGTTGTGCATATTGTTAACTCTGCTTATTGTATGTTGCTCCACAGATAAGTTTAGTGGGTACTAATGAGGTGAAAGTAAGGTAGAGATCTGTAGGTTGTTTTTTGAAAACATAATACAATGCTAAAATTCTTTTACTTTGTGGAAATGTGGTAAAAAGTATCATGTGGTTCATTCAAAATGGGATCAGACAAAAGATTTGAAAAATCTGCAGGCATTGTCAGAGGCACAGAGTAAAGGATCTTACACATCTCTCTCTTCTGTGGTTATTATACTTAGTTAACTGTTATATTTTGAAGAGCAGCAAAATAATTTTATCTATAACCCCTGGCTAAAGTTTTAAATCTGATTCTTGAAGTGCAGGAAAATGTGTCATCTTCAGTCAGAAATTCACCTAGTGTTGTAAGCTATTAAAATCTCAGAGTAACATTTATTCCAGAAATACCTAATAGCCCCACTGCAGAGCAAGTCCTGTTTGCTGGCATTTAGAGCTGATACAGAATCACAGGTCTGGAAAGGCCTTTAACAAGTCATCTAGAGAAGTCCTCTACTTCAGACTGGGTCAGTTGTATGTATGTCATTGCTAAGCGGTGTTTATTTAATCTTTTTATAAAGATGTCCAGTGAAGGAAACTCTTCTGTCTCCTCAGGCAGTTGGTTTTAGAGATTATGGTTTGAAATGCCTTTATCAGGTTTTTGAATATCTGACCTGACTCCATGATGTGCAGGCTGAATATGAAGAACTGATTGTTCCCTTCCTCTCTGCCACAGCCTTTTATATTTAAGACTGTCTTGCCCTCTGACTCCCTTCTCTACGGGCTTTATTTTGTTCAGTCTTTTTTCATAGATCTTGTTTTCTAATCGTCATTGTCTTTACTCCCTAATCCCTTCCTGTATGTGGACATCTTTATTGACGTATGATGCCCAGAACTGGTGCAGCACTCTGGTCAAGATGTTACCAATGCCAAGTAGACCTGAAATACTACTTCACGTGTTTCGCAAGCCATGTGGCTCTTTATACATCTTACTGCAGCTAGATAGAAATTGTTGATCCTGATACAATTTTTGTTTTGGCTTTGGTTGGTTATTTTAATCAAGAAGAAAGTCAAACTAACTGCTTCTGCTTGTGTTCTTAGTCTGCCATTTCCAGTGGATGTTGATGATGGAGGTGGAGATACAAATGCCAGTGTACATTCTCAAATGCACAGAAACTCTTTTCCAAGAAAGGGTTTAACTGAGCAACAGAAGGAAGGCGTTGATGTGGTGATGAAACTGATGCATACTTTGGATGAAGAAGGGGGGCTGGAAGAAATTTATACTTTCAGGTAAACTTGGCTAATCCTCTTTTATCACACTGTAATTTTACTTTCTGATTTCTTCCCCAAAAGGTGAAATGAATTAAGTAATCAGTCACTTGGCTTCCAGTTTCACTGAAGTCAGTGAGTTTTATAACTTATTGTACACTCCGTCCCTTTCAAACAGCTTCTTCATTGGCTTTAGAATAGATAGAAAAGCTTACAGATTTCAGTGGAAAATGAATTTTTTATATCTGTATTTAAAGAAAAAAATCAGTTTTCGTCCATCTTTAGTGTTGGTGGATTTTGGAGGGAGTGTTTCTATAAATGAGATTTCAAAAGCATGTTTTAGAAAGAGTTGGAATTTGTGACATAGTACGGGTAGAACATTTGCATTTAATGGTAGCCTTTGTTCCTTGGTCTCAGACTTCTTTTAGCTCACTAGTTTATCAAACTCCCACAAATGTTTTGAGTAAAGTTGTTTGTTGAATCCTGCTCTTTAATCACAGACTGCTCTGCCATTGTGCCAAACAATATACTTTTTTAGCAGCATTCCTAATGCAAGAATTGAAAGATGGTTTTTCACGTCATGTTTTCCCAATGAAAGAATAAAAAAAAAATGTGTCTCTCTGAAAAACTGTAGCTAATGATATATCCAAGACATTTCCACATAGGTGTTGTCTCAGTTGGGAAAAAAGCAAAATGCATCTATGCGCCTTATAAAAGTCGGATTTTATTTTCTTAGTAGTTCTATTCCCCAGTTATGAAGTGTGATCTTTTAGACAACGTGTTTTTCAGGAAACTTAGTAGACCATAGCTGTAATGTGATTATCAAGTGTGATTTTTAGATGAGGTACCTGTAGGTTTGCATGCTGTTATTCATCATTTTATTTGTGGGATTCCCTTCCCTCACCCTGCCCAACTGATCTGCTTTGCACCTCAGCAACCAGTTAAACTGTTATTTGAGCATTAGTGTGGATTAGTGAAGAAACAGGTGTATGTGTTCCTGTGTATGTGTTCCATACTAGTCAACAGAGCAGTCTGAGTCTGTAGAAAAAAAACGGGCTTTGTCATTGCATCAAAAGACTGCACAGAAAAGCAGTATCTTTCTGGGCCCATTTATCCTTTAGGATAATCCACATGCATGAAGCTACTATGTGGCTTGGCCCCTTCTTTATATTTTTTTATCGCAGGCTCTTGCTACTGTATAAGCTGTCTTTGTGCCATGCTTTCAGGGGAAATCCAAAATCTTTGGATAAATAGGCATTTGGCTAATAGATTAAAGCTTAGTTGCTTTAGTTGTTTAAGAATATGTGCGGTTTTAGATGCAGTTACGTTGCTTATCAAGCTTTAAGAAGTCAGCCTTGCAAATCTATCATGATAATTTACCAACTCAGATACACTCTTCGTTTTCCTATATTCATTACTCCTGCTGGTAAAAATATTTCAACTCTTGTGAAAGTAAATTAGTCATGCCAGGAAAGTAAGTGAGAAAATTTTGTTGTATTGTTTTAGGGTTTGATATTCTGACTCTCAGACAGGAGGTACTTCTGCTGTCTCTGGGTTTTGGGAGAAGGGATTGGAGAGCAGAGGAGAAAAGACATGTTTTTAAAATACAAGTTGAAATGTGTATTTACTAGGGTTTTATTGGCTGAGTCTTCTTTGATAACAGGGAGCATTTTTCTTCTATAAATATAAGAAATTAAAGGATAGAGTTAATAAATTGAGCTTAAATGACATTTTTAGGCATTTGACACTTAGGTATTTGATTTTCACGTTCATCCTTGAATGTATGTTTTGCAGTAGTTTTAGTGATGTAGTAATGGGTTCTTTTTAAAAATCCTATATTGATGTCTCTATTACCAGAAAAAGTAATTTTTCCTCCCTTCCTTCCTTTCTCCAAGGAAGAAGAAGAAAAAAAAAGGAAACACAATGTTTATCTAATTATAAAAATCCCAGTGCATTTTCTCCTTTCATTGTGCTTCTGTTAGAATTTTCAAAAAAAACCTACTCATCCTAAGAAAGTTGAAAAGTAGAATACCAAGTTGAATTCTGTACTAATGTTTTTAGGAGTTGATCTTAATTTCTGCCAGACGAGTGCTTTAATCAAGAGAGGTAGATTTTGGGTTTTATCATCATGTGAAAAAGGTGAGGTCAACACCGTTTTATCTTTGCTTCATCATGCAATAAAAAAAATTTATGAGCACTTTCTCTGCACTGGAATTTTATAGCGAAATAGCTGATACAGTTTGTATTAGCTGAAAGCCATTCTGGGGTGCGAGCCTATTTGATTTCACAATAATATATTATAAATTACTTTTACTGTCAATTTTTAATTTTGGGACCCCATTGCTTAAAGTTGTGCAATGGAGTTAACACTCTTTAGTATAAAATCATTACAGTTCCTTTTTTTTTGTGTGTTTTATGAACTTGCATATATGCTGTTTAGGCTAGAAATACTGAAAGTAACTTGTTTCACTCCAACCGAATGCCCTGAAAATAATGAGTTCATTAGTACTGTATAAAAAAAAAAGTGTCAAAAGTTAATTACGCACAAACAAAATCCTGTTAATTGAAACTGGATTCTTTATTTCTTCACCTCCACTGCAGAAAACATTTTACCACTTAGAGAAGCCTTTTCTAATTTGGGTTGTTCAGCCAACTACATGCCCTAATTGGGTGAGCACAGATAAATGTAAAGTGCTTAATAAGCAATTGTGTAGTTTCATCACAAGATCTAACATACTGTCTTTAAGCCCTAATGTCACACCATCAGAAAGGCTTGAGATGAGAATCATCTATTGTACCACCTCTTTTTTCATTCTCTTTTCTGACAATAGTTAATGACAAGATTATTCGTACAGTTTATTTTCTAATGCTTTTTATGCAGTCTAAGCTGAAACAATTGGACTCCTGCATCTCCTTGAAGAGAGTGTATTGTCTGTAATATTTTATTACAGTTCACCAGAGTTAATTTCTGTTTTCCTGATTCCTTCATTTAGAGAGAGCCTGGAGCGTCTTTCGATGTTTAAGAAAATAGAAAGAAGACCTATGGCTTGGCCCTGCCAGCTCACTATTGGTTCTAATTTGTCTATAAGGATTGTGGCCTACAAATCAGTAAGTTCATAAAATCATATGGTTTAGTGTATTTTGGCAGCAAGTTATGTGCAGCTGCATGTTTTTTCCTTAAAGCTAAGAAAATAAAAGATAAAACAACATCCAAAATAATTATGGTAGAGATTTTATGTGCGTAGAAGCCGGTACATCTAAAACTGTGGTTCCCACAGCAACTCTAACTTCACCATATTGTACACATATGTTGAAGAACTAAAATTCACGTTGTACAAAAATAGAAGTAATTGCTATCTACGCTGTGACGCTTAATGGTGTTGAAGTTGATGAACCTGATTAAGAATGCTACGCTTGTGTGAAGTTTTCCATTTGACATCAGTGATATGTCTGCAGCTCAGTGAGACTTAATATATATTTGTTAAGCCCTAGGCATGAGAGGAATTATGCACATGTGCATGTAAAATAGTGGGTGTAAATGTTTTACCAGCTATTGTTTCAAATCGCATCTATTGTTATTTCAGACTTGGAAAAAAAGGTATATTTTTTCAGCTTGTTTGCTTTATACTGTTTGGCAGAGCTTGTGCACAGTCTGTTTCCCTTACGGTTTATATAGGTCATTCACACAGTGCTAGGAAGAAGTAAGTGTATTTAAACACAGAAAATGTGCAAAATTCCAGTTATTGAATAATTAATAGGCAACTATATAGTGTGGCAGCATTGATGGATCTGGTGAGATGGAGATTGATTGGTTTGTTATTTGAACCCAAGACTGAGAGTCTGGCCAATATTGCAATGTTTCAGGAAGATGTATTATGAAGTTGAAATATATCTGATTTCTGAGAGATAGGCATATTAGCCTTGAAAAAGATCTCTGCTGCCAGCTTTCTATTTGTACATATTCATAATTTTTTTTTTTTTTAATTAGGATATTGTGCCAGACCTGTAATATGCAGTAAGAGTCCCCTCCCAAAGGTGTTTACACACAAAATAAACGAAGCTTGGGAGAGTAAGCAACATGAACTGAATGACTAACCTGAGGTCATACAGCCCCTGGATCAGAGCTAGGAGTAGACTTGTGATATCTAGTGATGTAATCTATTCTGTCTTTTCTGTTTTCTGCCCAGTTCTCCGTTTTTCTTCTCATTCACTAAGTATATCATCAGTTTCACTTAAGCAGAGAGAAAAGAAAGCATTTTTCTTTCCCTGTAGTTGGGAAGCGTTCACTCATTGCAGGTATCTATTCCTTCTTTCCCCTCCCAGTCCTGTAATGCATCTGGGATCTTTTTCTGCCTTTTGGGGAAGTTGCAGTAGCATAAGGTATTTTTATCCTGTAGTGTAGTAAGCCTGATGCAAAACTTGGGCAAACAAGCTGAATGAGCGTTGAGTTGTCTTGTATCTTTAACATATATCTTAATGCTTTGTCAAAAGTGTTTATGTAGGTGAAGGAGGTAAAATACATAGCAAGCAAGTTACATGTTATCCTGTGACCGAAAGACTTCCATGGATGGCTTAGCCCATGACTTTGATGAATACCCAAGACAAGTATGCAGTCAATATGATATAGTTCAGGTGTTAGGTCTCATACAGATGAAACAGTGTGCTGAAAGCACTGTGGTAGCAGTCAGAGATGCATATTTGGGGCTGTCATTATTAGTCCCTTATTGGCAAAACAATACAGCACTTGTTCTAAGAATTTTTTGCATGTTCTGGTAAGCACTGTGGATCCCACTGAAATGTTAAATGTTCCTTTTCTTTGAATTCCAATATAAAGGTCACAGAAGAGAAGGTGAAAAAAATGTGGACAGTTGTGGATGCTAAAACCCTCAGAAAAGATGATGTGCAAAAAGAAACTGTTTACTGCTTGAATGATGATGATGAGACAGAGGTTCAGAAAGATGATACTATTCAAGGTATGACTTCTTTATGTGCACCCTGAAGACAAACCAAAGATAATGGCTTATACTCTTAAATGACCTAAGTGCCTTTTAGTTTTATACTTTGAAGCCTAGCTGTGATCTTAGAATGTAAGCTCTGTAAGCTGATGGAACACAGAGACTGTTATGTGAGACACTTTGTCTTCACATATTTTAAAAATTCTTACTTTTGCAGGGAGTGTTGCAGTCTAATAGAATAATAATAATACCACCAGGTGGAACTTGGAAGGCACTACAGCTTCCTAAACTGTATTCTGTGGAGGACCGTACCTCAGTTCTGTAGTGAGTAGTGCTGCTACCTCTATTCTGTTTTCAAATCTTCAGTTGTACTGATAACATGAATACTTTCATAACACTGCTTTCTTCTAGATAAGCAACTGCTCTAGATATTTTGCAATTGGGAAGGTGAAACTGTTAAAGGAAGGTTTAGCGTTCAAGAGTCTATTAGCTTTGCTGTTTAATTTCCGTAACAGGTTCAATCTGAAGTAGTGGTATGCAGAATACTTTTATAACCTTCAGCTTCTTTCTGAGTGGATTAAATTCCTTAGAAGACTGAAGGCCCCAGAAACAGTATGAAATAGTCTACTTTTTAAAGAAGGAGTTAAGCAAATATTTTTAATTTTTTGTGATTTTATAGATATATTTTGTTACTAATTTTTTTCTTTCCTTTGCTCTTTCAATCCCACACAAGTAGGGCAGGTGTATTAGCTGTAAAGGGCAGAATTATTGAGATAACAGTATAGAAAGTGCTGTCAAATGAATAAAATAAATTGAAAAATTGAGATACATACTGTATTTTTTTATTTAACCTTTTTCAATTGTAGCAATCATAACAGTAGCAGATAAAAATGTCCCAATGACAGTGTGATTTTCTCTGTTTCTTTAAGCAGAAATAATAGTTAAAAGCTAGTAGTCTCTTTATGTTTTATAATTTCAAAACTTTTAGTAAAATAAAAGAAAAATCCACTTTTTATAGTGAATGTATTTTGAAGCATTTTTGACCATTCTCTGCTGATGTCCTGACTGCCTAAGTTGGTGAGTGGTTGTGGGACACCAGTAAAAAGAAGTGATGAACCGTTCAATGTGAACAAAAGAGACCAAAAATTTCTCTTATCAATGGTGTGATATTTCTTACAGTTAAAGAGCTGCTGATGCCTCATGGACTTTTGTGGACATTTTGAGAAATGTCATAATTAGACAATATTTTGCATTTGAAGCACCCATACTGAAATTTCTTTCATTCTGCCTGTGTGTTTGCTTTTCAGTTTCCAGGAAAATGTATCTGCATATAGGTTTTTCATCCAGGGATTTACCTTTGTTCCTTCTGCTTTCTTTGCACCTGAGGATACCATCCTTAGTTTATGACAGTATAATAAAGTGATGAGGTTACAGGGAGGATATTGTAGCTTGAGATGGGGGAATAAGCAGTTGGAACAGGTGATACCTCTGAGAAACTAACAGCTTCCTATTTTGTGGAGATATCCCTGTAATGTAAGGCACGGGAAGTAAAACACAGAGACATATAGAAAGACCACTTCTGCATACAAGAGTGTTTTGGTTTTCCATTGCGTGTGAGGGTGTATCTCACTTCCACTGTTAACACATTTTGTTCTCTGAATCCCTTCTCGTGTCATTTCCTGTCCATGATTTGTGGTATGTTTGGGTTTTTTTGTATTAGACTGCAACACTCCCTGCAAACGTATTTGCTGAAATCTATTCTGATTTGCTTAAATCTATTCTGTGAGCGTAACTTTGTTGGGCAAGATGTTCAGTTCCCTTACCTTCTTTCCTGCTCTCTATGAGGGTAGCCATGTTACATAAAACGATGTACAAGGAGTGGAACTGCTGTTGGTGAAGTACAAAATGTGTCTATGAGGTGTGTGGTTTTTCTTTTAACAGGGAAAGTAATTTGATGAGCGTGTGTGGAGTGTAGCTGTGGGGCATGCATGCATTGTTAAAATATTCAGAGAGCTAATTTCGGTGTTAGAATTGTAGGCCCATATGCTTACCAGATGCTCTTCTCTTGTTCTCCAGGGTTTCGCTATGGGAGTGATATAGTTCCTTTTTCCAAAGAAGATGAAGAACAAATGAAATACAAAACAGAAGCAAAATGTTTTTCTGTTTTGGGATTCAGCAGATCCTCTCAGGTACAGTACTAAACTTCCCATTCAACTTCTGGGGTTGTTCAAGACAATTGATTTCAGTTTGAATTCACTAAAGTTGTGGTGTTGTACTAGGTTCCAGTATTGGGAATGGAGCATCTGCCGTCAGGTATACAGAGCTGACTTATTTGCTGATTCTAGTACATGTAAACAGTATGTAGTCTTGTGAAGGGGAGAAGCTCATAAATGTGGCCATTGGGCCCTCAAGTGAAGCAAGAGCTACTGATCTGAGATCTCTGCAAAGTGGAGACAGGTATTGTAGTCTCATTTCATCTCTCAAACTTAGTGATGCCAGATCTGCAACGGAAGATGGTCTCTCTTCTGTTCAGGTCATGCAGAAGCCTTTTTGGGCTTTGTCCAGCCACAAGTGTATTCTTTTTAACAGAAGAAGCCTCTCTCTCAACATTAAAGAAATGTTAAAGAAAGCCTGAGAACTGACTGCATTCATTCTCATTTCCATAAGGATTAGTTTGTGAACTGTGACTTGCTTCTTGTTTCTACTATAACAAAAACTAAATGTAGCGAAGACTTCATAGAACTTAGATGAAGATAACATCATTCAAAAACTCTCCATATTTCATTGAGATGCTTGGTGTTTGTATGCACTTACCTGTACTTGTGGTATTAATGTTGCCATTCGTTTTACCTGGAAGTTGTGAGAAACTTACATTGAGCAAGTACCTTAATAAAAGCTATCCAGCACAATGTGATTTCCTGCAGAAAATCCAGGATGTAAGCATTAGGAAAGCCTTAGGCAAAGGCTTAACAAAACCCTTGTGGAAGCAGGACACATGAGAAGGAAGTACGGACATGTGAGCACCAGTAATTGCTAGAAATGTTAAGCTCCTCCCACTCTTTCTTCTCCAGGATATTGCACAGGGTGACTGAAACTTTACTCTTCTTGGAGTTCACTGTACCCAGTCCCCTTCACCACTCAAAACTGAAAGGAAATCATAGGGCAGCTCCGCGCCTTCTGTTCTGAAAGCTCCCAGCCCTCTTGCTCTTCTTTGAAATGTCTCGCTGCCTGAACAAAATAGAGCCCTTGACGAAGGCTGAGGAATCGTTACCTTTACCAGGAAGGAAAGATGCTAAAAGGAAAGATGCTGATGAAATAGGAAGTATCTGTGGGAGCTTACTCCCAAATGGATGTAACTAAACATATTTTTACTTTACAGTACAGGTGGCACAGAGACCCCTTTATGTTGCTAGATATGCCCTTAGACTACTGCAGTGCAGTGGTCCAAAGCATATTATTAACTGAGGAGCCAGGAGGTTATGTTGATTTATTGAAATGAGAAGCCAGCCTAAATGGGAACTGTAACCTGGTTGCTCCTTGAGGATATTCAGAACTTAAAGTTGTTAAGTAACACGGGAGCTTGCGTACTGAAAGTGATTGATCGAGGAAACATTATCGTGCTTGAGCTTATATGCCCTAAATTGGCCAGGGCAGAGAGGTGTTAGGGAGTGTTAAATCCTGTACCAGAAACTGGATCTAACAAGTGAAATGTTGTGTCTTAACCCAGTGTTTCAATGAGACAATTTCTTGCATCTTTTCATGCGTTATTAGCCTACAGCTGAGTCTTACTATCTTCATTTAATTCTGTAAGATGTATTTCACCATGTGCAGTGTTTTCTTATGCTGGAGGCTGGCCTCCTATTTCGACTTGAAGTCTGAATTTTATTGAAACCAGAAACTAAGAGGAAAACATGAGAAGCATCGTGCTCCTGTCAGTGAGCTGTTATTTCACATGGATTTTTTTTTCCCACCATTGGTCAGATAGTGTGGTAATACCTTCAAATACATAGTTAATAATTAATTGTAGGAATATTTTTGATTCACATAAATATGCCTCAAAGAATTAACAAATTGGGTTTATATTTTTTCAATGCACAAAATATTTATTGCTTTTGATAATTTTTATGATGTGCTTGTCTCTTCTGTGGATTTCATAATGAATAGGAGTTGCATCTTAAATAAAGTGCGCTCTGGTCCTGTAATTAGGAGTGTGGGTAATTATGCCCAATAGTAGTTGCATAGACCTCAGTGGAATAAAATTATTCAGGTGTGATTGCAGGATTAAAATTACACTGTATAGATAATGATACCAGGAAGTTTTCAGCTACAACTAGAATTTTCAAGACCCATGCTTTCCCTTATGTTTTGGCTCCTGAATTTTATTGTTTGGAATCATAATACTGACGCTATTCAAATGTATGTTTTATATTAAATTGTTTCTTTTAAAAACTTTGGAGAAAAGATAATTTATTATTAACTAAAGAAACTGGAACAGCTCCAAATACATAATTAAAGAAGGAATAGAACCACCTTATATTATTTTTCTGAGTTACTCACATCCCTCGAAAGAAGATATCAGAGGCCGCTTAAACTTTGATTTTTAATTTATAAGCAATGCCATGTAAATCAAGAAATAATACTTGAAAATATTACAAAGGGACCATTTTTTTTTTCCCCAAACAAAAAAAGGTGGAGTGATACACACGTCAAGAAGGAATAGAACCCCTTTATATTATTTTTCTGAGTTACTCACATCCCTCAGGAAAGAAGATCAGAGGCCGCTTAAACTTTGATTTTTAATTTATAAGCAATGCCATGTAAATCAAGAAATAATACTTGAAAATATTACAAAGGGACCATTTTTTTTTTCCCCAAACAAAAAAAGGTGGAGTGATACACACGTCTAGTTATTTATACTATACTGAACATAAAATTTCCTGAGCTTTTAAAGACAGAACAGCAAAGAATAATTGCAGGTAGAATAATCTGAGTTGAAGAATCGTGCTGTAATACATTAAGCAGATCTGCTCTGGTGCAAGTTGTCACTGACTTCAACAGCATTATGGTAATTTGCTGAATAATGAAACTCCAGGTTAGTTTGGAGACAGTGTAATTTGAAGAGATTTTTCTTTAACAAAGAAAGGTCATTTTAACCAGTGTTCATAGTAGGGTGCAGTCTTTGTGACAGGTTTTCCGCTATTGCAGTGTTTCTCTGGGTGTGTCTCGCAGCCTCTGTGGCTCCAGCTGTTCCAGCAGTGCCCCTTAATGAAACTGGGTTTGTTTTTTTTTTTTTGTCGGCCATTTTCATGAACAGCATAAACTCTGCTAACAGAATTGCTTCTTTGCCAGCACAGCTGTACATACTCCAGGTTGCTGTTGAAGCAGCTTTATTAATTAAGGATGTGACTTTTGTCAGCTCCTTTTTGACATGTCTTTGCTAGGAAAATTTAATAGCATAGATGTGGTGTCAGTTAGGTTTAGGTCTTTTGTTAACTACTGTGGTTTTCCACACTGACTTTTGAATTACTGCAGTATTATTCAGACTGATAACAGCTGCAAGTACCGTAGTCTTTCATTCCTGTCCATCAATAGGAAGGTATGAGAACATCCTGCCGAATATGACTGAATATCCATATTGAGTGATAAATGGAGATATGAAACACATACAGAGCTGTGATTTCTATGCACAGTAATTTAATTTTGTGGCTTCTCACTTGAGTAATGTGTTAGTTGTTTCAGAATGTAACTGGTCCAGTCACATTAATGACAATTGTTTTAGATCAGGCTAACTCTTGACCATTTGAATCTGTAGATCCAGAGGCATTACTACATGGGCAACCAGGTTCTGAAGGTCTTTGCAGCGAAAGATGATGAGGTAAGGTGAACTGAAGTTCAATGCTGAAGGTGTTTTGCTGTGGAACAGAAAAGAACAGTAGTGGCGCTTGAAATTGTCCCTTCTTTCCATGTTAATAAAACAAATATTCTTAACGCAGCTTACAGAAGTCTTGTTCCATTGCCCAACATTTGCTGAGCTTTGAAGGGATCCACTATCATGATGAGATTTAACCTTTCTGCTTCTTTGTTTTTTGAACATGAGAAAAGCTTGTGTTGAAGTTATAGCTGAAATGGGAACTGGTCTTGACTAAATCAGTGTTGTTGAATTCACTGGTAAAAGGTGTATTTCAGCAGACTAATGAGAACTTGCATGACTCTCTAGACGTTTTGTTTTTTTTTTTTCCCTCCCCAGAACGCAGCAGTTGCTTTTTCTGCCCTTGTTCATGCATTGGATGAGTTGAAAGTGGTAGCTATAGTGCGTTACGTTTATGATAGAAGATGCAACCCGCAAATTGGGGTAGCTTTTCCATATATTAAGGATGCATACGAGGTAATTTTTCACCCTTACCTTTCTGTAGATAGCCTCCGTATTGATGCTTTACAAATACCAATTAATAAGTGATCATATTTGAACCATATGAATTTGCAGTGTTGTGTAATACCGGAAGAAACCAATGTGACTTTTCAGAGTGATTTTTAGGAAATAGTACCGAGTCTTAGGACAAGGAGGTAATAAATAGTGTTAAGAAAATTCCGTAGAAAAAATACATGGAAAAATAATGCCATATATTTCTATTAGTATCCTCTATATTACAGATTCAAATAATACTGATTTTTATTTCAATAACATAGTAATAATTTAATTTTATTATCCTGGAAATCTCAATTTTGTTGGTATCTAGAAACAGTGTAATCACATACTTATGTAATAAGTTACCACTGCTTTCTTGCTGTGTTACTACCTACCTCTCTGCGTACAATCCAAGTTGCACTAGATTATTTCATTTTCTTAAACTATGGATTTATCTCCAGGTTGCTTGGTAGTGCAAAGTTTGAATTTGATAGTTGGCGTGGCGTTTCAAGCATGTCCAACGACGCTGTTGTCATTAGGTTTCCAAGTCAACTGGAACTGAGGGCAGGCGCTCACAGCATTTAAAGCTGTTGTTTAAATTCATATGGACAGTTAGGAAGACATTAGTATATTTATTTACTTGAAAAGGTTATTTTAAAAAACAGGAGAAAAAAAATGAAGTCTGTTTCTTAGGGAAAAAAAAGAAAGTTCTGTACACAGCAGAATCATATTTGAAATAAATTTTTTAAAACTCTGAGAGGCCCAGAAGCAACACAGTATGTCAGAATTTTTGCAGCATATGTTTCCACTGATCTTACTTACAAGAGACTATTGAAAGAGCTAAATATGTATACCATGGCTAATGAATGATGAAGGTGGGGGTGGATATAACAATCTTCAGACTTTTGAAGAGTATAAACGTAAAGGATGGAAAGGAATTATTTAGGGTGGTATGAACTGGAGGAGGTATTTGAATAAAGAAAAAACAAAACCAACTCTTGACTTTGAAACACAGTAAGCTATGATAAAACCTCCCAAAGCGCCAATGTATGGGGTATTTAAAGCTTGGCTGGTTGGAACTCTGCACGAGAAAAAGGGATTGGATCACCTGGGAGATCGTTATTCCACTAGTAGAAAAATGAGGAGTGTAGTCATTGCTATATTATAAAATAATGCTGTGTTTTATTCTGCTTAAAACTGTGTTGCTCTGTAAATACTTTACTTAAGTATTTTGATACACACAGATATTAGATCTTTGGATTTTTCTTACGTTTATATTGTCCTGATAGGGCACTTTGGGATACTTTAGATTTTTTTACTTTAGGCTCAGTTGTTTCTTTCTTCTTTTGTCTTGCTCAGTGTCTCATCTATGTGCAACTACCCTACATGGAAGACTTAAGACAGTACCTATTTTCATCCTTGAAAAACAATAAAAAATGCATTCCTACAGGTAAGATAGTCCTTTGCTGGGCAACTGGACAAAGTAACCTACTTGTCTTCCTTAGAGACTCTAAAAGAGCTAGAATATTTGGCTTTCCAATGAAAACATAAGCTTTGTCACTATTTTGGCTTAGGGAAAAAACCCCAGGCCTTTGGGAATACATTATGATGATGTCATCTTGAAGTGTAAAGCCTGTATCAAAACTTTAACAGCTTAGTTGCAGGCTGAGCAGACTTGAGGTTTGCAGGCAGTCTTTTAAAACTGTCCTGTTAAATGACTTCTGGCTCGGGTTATGGGATTATTAGTCTCACAAGATCTCTGTGATAGACATCTGAGATTTAGTCTTCTGTATCCTTTGGTTTTTGAACTCATTTGTGAGACTAAATGGCCAAACCTTGTGGGAGATACGATATGTGATTAGCTAGCTAGAATTAAAATAGAGGCATCAGCTCCGTTTGTACAAAGCTGGTCCTGTAGCCAGTTGCAGTGTGGCCTGTTAATATAATGTACAAAGGCAAAGACTGTACTTTCTGTGGTGTGTTGTTTTTTAAAGCATGCACTTACTGGTATCCAGATTCAGATAGAGGGCGTCTTTGGAGAGCCACAGAACATGCAGCCATACAAAGCTTGACTCACTGTTCTGAGAATTTTGCACAGCAATGAGCGTAAATGGATGTAGTCTAAAATCCACTCCCACTTCTTTAATTTGTTACGAGGTCCATTGAATGGGCATCTGCACGTCAGGGTATATAAAGCACGCTGGGTTGTTTCTGAAACAGTTTCTGTTCTTTTGCCTGTAACCTGCAGTTTGAGAACAAATCTAAAACCTGTCTTACCAAAGCAATAGTTGTGAACTGTGTTAATTTGCAGTCATAACTTTTAAAATTTATATTACGCCATTTGGTTTTTCAAACCAACTGTTCCCCTTATTTTCTGAGTGGCCTATAAACCTTCTGCTGCAAATAAAAACATCTTGAAAAATAAGAAAAATGGAAGCAGAAAGGCAGCAATAATTGAGGTCTTGGGGGGGAAAAAAAAGGCTTTAAGACTTTACATTATAGTCCTTAAATAAAGCAGTTGGTTTATTACTGTATCCATTATCCATACTCTTTATTGGCACGTCTGTATCTGCAGTGTATTGTGTGGCATGTAATGAATTGGTCAAAATCTCACATGGTGAAGTGTATCTTCATTTATAAATTGTTTCAAGAAATCCATCCATCTGCAAGTGTATTTAATTTTTCTTTGTATGTAATTGCTGCCTTAGTGGATCAGTTATCTGCTGTCGACTCTTTGATTGATTCTATGAATTTGATTTATGAAGATGATGATGGAGAAACTTTTGAAGACCTGTTTAAGCCCAGCAAAATCTCAAACCCTCATTTTCAGAGGTTATATCAGGTGAGATGAACTATATGGCATTTTTTAAAAATTTCTTTTGTTAAGACTTTTCACCTTTCTGTCTTTCTCTGATTCACATTGGAAAGATCTGCATTGTGAAGATGGGAATATAAATTCTTTTGCATTTAAGTATGGGGTAGGCAGTGATTTCTATGTTGTCCCTGACATAGGGTTTATTTTTAAAAATAAAAAATTATTTTTAATTTAATTATTTATTATTTTTAAAAATTCCAGTTTCCAAGGGAAATTACACCTGTGCTGAGGTGTCTGCAACAGCATCAATGATACTCACAGGCACCTAGACTAGACAAGTTCAAACTTGCTTGGGTATCTCAACACTGTATTGCAGTGATCATGGTGCGGACATAGACTTAGTCTTCAGCTTCTGGGCAAAGAGAGAAATTGACTGAAAATCGGGGATCTTTTTAGCTCCTCATTCTGTGTCCCATCAAATCTTCAGCAGAGTCACTTTTCTGTGCATTGTTGCATCTAGCAGTGGTTCCAAAACAGATCAGTCTGTGGTGAACTTGATCAGTAGTAAATGGTTAACATTGTTGACATTTAAAACATTCCATTTGGGTGTCTGAGCTGACGCATTTTACGGGCAAGCAGAACAGTTCACACTTCTTGCAGTTATTGCATCAAGCTGTCTACATTTTGATTTACATTCCTTTCATATCATGAATATTTTCATTGCAACTGTGAGGATGAGAGACTTAATTATACATTAGAATTCAAGTGTTCAAAAAAATGACACAGCAAATTCAAAAATAAGGAAAATTACAATGCAATTTATGCAGCTGCAGAATTGTGTTGTATACAGAGTCATGGAGATATACTGAGTGCGTGACTCCACTCTGAAAATTGACCAAAAATGGTATTATAGCCACCATGTTCATCATGTCTCAACAATTCCAAATGAAATTTTTTCAGTTTACAAGTAGGAAGAAGATGCTTTTTTAAATTAAGAAAACTTACCCTAGCTTCCAAAAGCCATGCTGCCTCAGTATTGTCAAAAGCAGCAAAGGATCTGAAGGTCGTATGTATGTTTTGTCAAAAGCAGCAAAGGATCTGAAGGTCTCTATGTTTCAGGAACACATGTAAGCCCACTGTCTTCAAATCTTACTCTGATTGATACCTGCAGAACTCAGTGTTCGCTTCAAATTCTGCCAGCCATATTGACAAGATGGTGTGTAACTGAATGCAAGATTTGGTCAGTAGAAGGTTATTGCTGGGCAAGAGCTTAAAATGGATAGACCTCTCCATGACTCGTATTTTAGGAAGGGTTGTAAAACTTGGGTATTACAAAACAAATATGATTTTGCTTGTAAATGAAACACATAGGGGATAAAATTTCCGCTATTATATTGCTAGATGCAATTTTGCATTCTTTTGGTTCAGTGGATGTCACCTGTCAATGAAAGATGTTTCTTTAGGTGTGCCATTTGTTTTCTGAAACAGTATGATGGTGGTGTCCCAGCAGTTGAGTCAAGTGCTGCTAGAAGAGAGTAACTGTGTAACTCACCAATTTTCTTAGAGGATGATAGGATTTTGAGGATAATAGGTGAATGCTACTGGTGGAAAAAGTGTTTATTGACTGTTTCAATGTACTAGGTAGTATACAGTTCCTGTCCACAGTGCTTGGTGTTTATAAAGCCCTAAATTACGAGTCCTTTTAGTGCTTTCTTTTGCCTGTGCACAGCCCCATTTTTTTGTCTTGGTTACAAAACTGCTATTAATCTGTGTAAGTTGCAGAAAGATTGTTCTCTCCTTTGCTGCAAACATGTTCCAGATTCTTAATATTTTGCTCTTAGACCAAGTGGCACTGCTGGTTCCTGAAGAACTATGCAGAAAAATTACACATCATCTTTTGAACGTAGCCAGTAAATTGATTGGGCTGAACAGGACCTATAGATGGTTTGGAAAAATAACTCTGAAGAAAGGATGAACTCCCCCTTCATTTCCTTGCTCTGTTGCCTCATGAAGATATTTGGAGTGATAAGTGACGAGCCAGAATTTAAACAGAAACATCAAGCTAAATTATATCTCTGGAAGTAGTGGTAGGCATCAGGAGATGACAGAGTGGGTGGAAAGGAGTTGCTAATACTTGCTGGAGTGGAAGATGAGGAATATCCTATGTCCAGAGTTTCAACTTTTATTCCTTGCTTCCAGAAAAGCCTAAGCAAACTTCCATAGCTTTTGTGGTGGCAGACTTCCAACGTCATTGTTTAAGTTGTTCCTCTTAAATACAGGGATTTGAAGCACATAAGACATCTGGGGAATGCAGTGCATTTTATTTGATAGCCAAATAAACAAATTGCTCAACTATGATTGTTCCATACTGAGACCTGGGGGGAAGGTTTGTGGGGACAGTGGCCTACACCATCACATAGTTCATGGGATCCAGCTGCAGAGTCTGCATCTAAATATGCTATAATGGTTCTTGTTAGACCACATGTAAGAGACTGTGGAGGGCTGAGCTCGTTTGTAAGTGGTTGGATGGTCCAGTGATGTTCTTTCAAAAAGCAGAGCAGCAGGGGGACAGGAGGTACCTCACAGAAGTCTGTAAGGGCTTTCAGCAACAAGTAATCTTACCTTTGGTTGAATGTAGTGGATCTGTTGGACAGTCATTTTGAAATCGCCACAAACTAGATGTAAACTGAACTCTAAGACACTTGTGTTGGGATTCAGTTCACGCAGGTTTAACCACCCTGAAACTAGCCAACTAGTGTAAGCTGAGTTGTCCAAATCTATTCCATAATCCCTGAAAAAAGAACCTTGGGAAAGTAATTGACCCTTCTTGTTTTGGAGATCCTAAGTACATGATAGTTGTGGTTGTGTAGAGTGAGTAGGTGACTGGTATAGTCTAGATATTTATCTTTTAGATAGCTGAATCTGTCTCCCATGTTCTAAGGCTTTAAATACTATCAGGTTAATGTAGGATTTATAGATTTGCTAAAATATGTTCTTACAAAAGTGTGTTCTAGATGCTGTGTGGAACAAGGCAGGATGCTTTCTTGCAGTAAATTCCTGTCTATTCATGCATTTATGCCATTGCTTATCATGGAATTAATTATGTGAAAAGCCCACTTCGTTACGTCCATTGACCAGTATCTTAGTGTGACCCCTGTTCCTGAAAGCTGGCTGCATCTCTAGGCTGGAAATGTAAGGAAATTAAGAAGAGCAAGGAGAAGCTAGTATGTTGCTGACAACATGCATGAATAAAACAGTGAGTCTGGAAGCCAGTGGCAGTGTGGGTTGCCTTCTAGCCAGTGAAGGTAGGAGTGGTTCTTGCTGGGCACAGAAGGAAGAGGAAGCAAGGTTAAAAGGGACTGTTTCGGATTAGAAACTTCAGGTTAAGTCTGTTCAACTTCATCTCCGTTTAGCACCTGAGTTTTGATGGTACCTGTCATCTGAGGTTTCAGAGGTCGTCATCTACTCTAAAAACAGGAACAAATGGAGGCTGTGGCTACTCAGTCTGCTCAGCTCTTGCAGCTGCATACATAGAGATTTTGGATGCAAAAGCCTGAAAAAACACATTCACAACAGGGGACTTAGGTTTTTTGCTTTGTGAGTTTAATTCAGTCCCCTAATACTGTTTTAATATTGGTTTTTTGTATCACAAGAGCCATTACTGCAGCTTCCGGCAACATTTTTACTCTCTTTCAAAATAATTATGCCTTAAATCATTACAAGTGTTTCCAAATCAGTAGCCTTGTATGACTGCCTCCCTTTGAAAGCATGCTCTAATATGGATTGGAATCTTAATGGCAGCATGAAAGCACATCAGTATTGATGTGTAGCATATGGTCTGGATTTTCTTTATTGGCAGCTTTTCAGCATGAGGAGAGGATTTTTTTTTGTTTGCTTTGGTTTTGTTTTTTAAATTAATGTCATGTCTGACAGCCAACAGGGGAGCAAATTTCTGCTGTATTCCTAGTTTACTGAGTAGTTGCCTTCACACTTGTGTCTAATTCACCCGGTACAATGGGCTTGGAAAAATTATTCTCCCATGTACCTCACGTGTTTTTGTGTGTGTGTGCATGCACTGGTATCTGTGTATATAAATGCACATACACATAAATCTCTACTGCTATCCCACACTTCACAACATTTAAGAGATACCTACTTTGTTTTAAAAATTCTCAGTGGAATTTCTGTAGCCTGCCTCATTAACCTCATCTCTCTCACTCTGCTTGGCTTCCTGATTGTGTGCACTGACTTTACACTTTGGTGAAAAAACCTTCTCCTCTGTAGCTCCTACCATCTGTTCCAACTTTGATGTACATCTGTCAGGCCCCTTCATTCCCTCACTCTTTTCAAAGCTAATTTGCAAACATACCTATATTCTGTGCCTCACCTGTGCACATTTAACTTCTCTCTTTCCATTTGCTCTTAAACTGGTGAAAATTTCTCTTGTATGAATACTGAGTTTTACTGACCAAGAAGAAATATTTTCTTTGAGGGACAATAAACTGTGACAATAACTGGAATATGTGGTTGGGGTATATATCTCATTGCCTAATTTTGGAATGTATAGAAGTCTCTCCCATGTGACTGTTTTATAATAGAACTGCATTTTAAAGGTAATGAAGTCAAAAAGCTGAATAGATGCAGATGACACTTTCATTCCTGGGATTTTCCTAATAATTTTCATAGAACTCATTCCAGTGAGTGTGGGAACACTCATCTGCATCAGTATTGTTGTTTAATATCATTATTAATCTCCTTAAACAGCTGATCATATGACTTTCAATCCACTTGTGAGCTGGAATATTTGTCAGCAATATGAAGGTAGTTTCTTTAATATGGAAGATATTTTGCATGTACCATATGATGTCAGGCATACAAGCATTATATTAAAAGCACATAAACTAAAAGTTTTCCTTTGCTCAAATTATTTCTTGCAGTGTTTGCAGCATAAGGCTTTTCACCCCAATGAGCCATTGCCACCAGTTGAACAGCACATTTTAGAGATGCTGGAGGTGCCCCATGTGGTAAAAGAAAGGTGTCAGGCTCCTCTTGAAAAAGTAAAAGCACTTTTCCCTCTAAAGGAAGTTGGCAAGAAAAAGGAGGAGAAGACTGCTCAAGACATCTTCAAAGACAAGTAAGTTGGAGGTGTATTATGGATTTTTTTTGAAACTTTTTTTACACTTCAAATTGTTTTGCTGGATGAAGCAGTTTCAGAGTTTTTTGAACATAAGATCAATGAGTTACACACTGAAAAAATACTGATGGGTGGAGAATATTGTGGTACCGCAGTATGTCTGGGATATTTTGTGAATAGTGGCGGTCTTACTATTACGGGGCAAGACGCACCAGGAACCAGTCTGTAGCTTCTTCATGTCTGTATTTGTTGTCACAGAATCCATCAGGTTGGAAGGGACCTCAGGAGGTTTCTTGTGCGACCTGCTGCTCAAAGCAGGGTCACCTATGAGATCTAAACAGGTAACTCAGGGCTTCGTCCAGTCTGGTGCTGAAAACATCCAGGGATGGAGACTGCACATCCTCTCTGGGCAACCTGTTGCATTGCTTACTGTCTCCTGGTCAGTTTGTCCTACTGGTAGTTATAAAATAGTTCAAATAAGAATAACAGAGGGTCTAATTTAGTTTAGAATAAATGCTGCAGAGCTTTAAATTAGCTGTAAAGATGAATCTTACTTCTCAGCATGCTCGATTTAGGTTGTTCTGTAGCTTTCATTTTGAATTCCAAATCAAAAGAAAAGCAGCTTCATTATTATCTGCTGTGCAATATATGTGGATGTCTTGAAAAATCAAACTGTTACAGACTCTTCCTGGAACATGTATTGTCTGAACAGTTTTGAAGATAATTTTTGTTGTTGTTGTTATTACATATACTGTGTTTACTTTATTTGTGCTGCAAATACAAAAAATAAATGCTTAATTGCTACTGCATTGGTACTGTCACCCAAGCCACAAGTCAATTTGCTCAAACAAAATCTGCTTCTTAGAGCTTAATTTATTGAATGCCTGTAATATAACTACTGGGTCCCCTGGGATGTTAGGGAGTTCTCAGTTAGCTGCTTCTCCCTTCCTTTTGTCATTTTTAGCTCAGTCCTTTCAGCACTAGGAACAATGTCTGAGCCATTTTGAGGCGTTGCTTAGCTGGGCTGTCATATATCCTTTACCTTGGGTTGGCTAGAGCCTCCTCAGCATGTTGTGTTCAGGAAGACATGACATAGGACTTCCCACATTACTGCTCTGGAATAATGACCACATTTCTGTACACAGACTGGGAAACACCTTGCTTTGTATTTTGTTCATTGCTGGGTGTGCCTGTCTTGTCTTGGTGTGTCTGTGAATTAATACTGATTAAATTCTCTTGTCCTTGCTCTGTGCCCCAGTTTCTCTGTGTGTGTGTGTGTGTATACATACATTTATACATGTATTTTAAAAAGTGATAGAACCAGTTTGAAAAAAAAAAGGCAAATCTTGGGTTCAAACAAGCTAGGGAGAGAATTTAAACAAAAACCAGTGACCCATTACTGGTAGTTGCTTAAAAACATACATCCCCAAAGGCATCAATTTGACAAGCAAGAAGGAAAGCTATTTTGTTTAAAAACTGGTTTCCTTTAGAGGGGTGATGAAAGCAGCTATAAAAATAATTGAGATAGAAATTGGTGTAGGGCATTAAAATTATTAAAAAAAAAATCTGTAAGGAGGGGCAAAAGGATACAGACGCACCTATGCAAAGAAGAATGAATGGTAATAGGATTAAAAAATACGAAAAAAAATGTTATTGCTGTAGTAATGAATGGGAACAGTAGTATTGTCAGTACAACAACAGAAGTGTTAACTTTATGTTTTTGTTCTGTGTTTGGGGAAAAAATGAGTGATATAATTAAATCACTTGATAAAGAAAAGTACATCACTGCAACAATGACTAAGGAAAATGTTAAACACCAGAAAAAATTCAACTTATTAAAACTATCAGATCTAGATAATTTGCACTAAAGTGTTTTGAAAAAGTTGGCTAGAAGCTCTCTTGACTGTTATTTTTGTTTTCTAAAACTGATTTGTGTTTCCTATCATCATATTGACCTGATTAATCTCTGCTTAATTTTTAAGGTCTAATGGGATTAAGGCAGCATAAATGTAGGCATGATATCTTAATACAGATTTTAATGTTCAGCATTCGTTTGTTTCACTTTTGCTAAGCTCAGTGTAGTTTGAAAAATCCCGTAAAGTAGAAAGCATTTTACTTTTTTCTTCTTAGATTGGCTTTGGAGCGGCTGGTACTTTATCCAGCTTTGCAGTATGTGATAGGCTTCTATATAAATGTAGAAGTGGGTGTTTTAAATTAATCTTGTATTTTATTAATTTTTCTCAAATAGTAGTTGCACGTTTTACAGTTTAAAAATACTGCTAATCAGTGCATTACCAGTAACAGATTCTAAATGTCAGATCCTTGGCTGGTATAAATGGGTATGGATTCATTAGTTTCTGCTGTGCTGCACTGATTAATGACAGCTATAGGTTTGGTCCTAAGGCAGTTAAATGCAACATCATCATTTATGTTCTCCTCCTTCCTCCAATTGCAAAGCATTTTGAATCAGTAAAAATAATGCAGGAGGAAAAAGATTTCAAGACATTGCAATTGAGTGGAAAACACCTTTAGAGAAAAATATTCTAAAAGAGAGTTTTCGTTGTTCTTTGCACCTTTCATCAAACCACAACAACGTACAAGAATTTTGGTTCAAGTAGAAGTTCTAAACTCACTAGTGTTAGATAAGTATCAGTTTTTCCATTTTACAGGCAGGCATATCGGCTGTCCAAAACAATCAAGCAACTTCTTCAAGGTCAGCCAGAAAGTCAGCAGAGTTGAGAATGAAGCAAGGTATCCTATCCTTGTCCTGAGGCATAACCAAAGTCATCATTTCTCCTAGATTGATAAGTAAGGTTATGTTGGATGACAGGAGGTGCTGAGGAGAAGGGATTTCATTTCACTAGTGACAAAATTAAGTAAAGGACAGAGAAGACTACTGAAACAAAGTGGGATAGACACTGATTGTAAAATAGGGGAAGTATGTTCTATAGAAGGTAAAAAGGAAGACTGTACAAGTTCTTTCTAATAGTTGATTGCTTCTGTAACACGCAATGCAATTTTTAAAATCAGTTCTAACCTTGTAGAATGCAAAACGGCACCTAGTCCAGGATCTCTGGCTTTGTCCCTACATCGTCAAGCAGTTTCTTCTTTTCACTGCAGTGGTAGAATTTTTAAGAAAAACTTCTTTCTTTATTTTGGGATTCCTTGAACACAAATACTGCCGTTTAGATCGCTGAGTAGCTTTCAGTCATTCTTAAACTGAAATCGATTCTTCCGTGTCAGTAGCCTGTCACATTAAGTGACACAGAACACAGTGTCTGATTTTCTTCCCCTTTTGTGATTAGCTGGATTTTCTTCTGTTGCCAAGATGTGCTCTGAAGTTTGGCACGTTACAATTAAGTTTCTGATTTGAATGTACACCTTGGTATATGCTACCTGTGAGGGCAAAGCTAGAAAGTAGCCTAAAATTACAAGTAGCTTTTTAAAAATAACAGAGTCTTTTGAAAGCATTTTGAGATGTAGCTTAAAATGTCCTAAGAGAGTTCTTACATACTTAATTGGGGTTTGTCTAGCAGTTTTTGACTGCTGTAAGTGGAAGTTTATAAAGCTCTTGTGTGCTGATGGAGAATATGGGTCATTAGACTCAAAAGCCACTGTGTAAGCAGATTTGTAGTAGCTATCAATTCCAAGACAGGAACTAGCAGGTAATTTTTGAAGAGTAAATGAATTTCTTACTTAAATGTTAAGTTTCATTGCCATTTCATGTTAAGAACATCTGGTGAGAATACCAAATGTCATGTAATACACTGTAAATTATCAAGGTTAACTCAATATACAGGTTCCAAATAAAGTGACTGGAGATATTATGTATTTAGAAAGGTGGAGAAGATGTGTATGAGTAAATTCACTCCTGAAATAAGCATGAATAATCTCGCAGCTTCAACAAGCGGTGCCTTTGCTTTATGCTAAGATAAAGTTTGATCTCTGTCTCTACTGTCTGCTTCATGCAGCCTGTGGGGAAAAATGAGGCATGGTTTAGTGTTAATTTGGGAACAGTTGTATAATGAACTTTTGTCCAGTGTTCAGTGTATATTTCATTAATTTGCTGACTCCCTACTTAGTAGGCAGGACAGTTTACTTTAAGTGTTTATCTTCATTTTTGTCCTTCTCATTTGCAGCAGTGAAGATGGACCCAACCCTAAGAAACCAAAAATTGACGATGAGGAAGGTAGCTTTAGCATCATAAAACTTGCTGAAGGCAATGTCACCTCTGTAAGCATATTTTTACGAATCTGATTATTAAAGGGGAAGATTAATTTCTCTAAGTGTATTATAGTGAATATACAGAATTCCTGATAAAAGGACGGTTTCTTGCTGAAACATGACTGAAGTATTGTCTACTTGTAGATTTGAGACTCTCTGCTAGAGATTGTAAAGACAACTTCCTCTGCCCTTAGGTGTATGTTAGCACAAGTTTCCATCAGTCTTGGATATTTTAGGGCAAAATTCTCCCCTGGTGTCTAGAACTCTAAAGGGCAAGCCTGAGGAAGGGAAAACAACAATCTCAGATTTGGGGTCCAGTGGCTGAATTTTGTTCTTGCTCTCTTTCATATCATCTGCAACATGGAATTTGCCTCTGTATATTTAATCAAAGGTATTGCTGTGATTTTAGAGACTGTTCACTGCATCGGTTGGGGTTCTAAATCGCAAATTTGACTTCATTCCTGATAGGGATAGGTTAAATGTCTAACTTAATTCCAGATATTGTGTACATAGGTAGATGAAGCCTGTATCATAACTGTGCACCTTCCTTTATTTTATTTTTTCGAATTACAGGAAAAAAGGTGATTTAATGTTAATTGAGGTTAATTTCACTTGTTTTCAAAGTATCCTTTAAGGTTGGTTTTTAAAATGCATGACTGAGATTTTTAAAGAGACTTAAAATCTAAAAAGATTTAAATATTTTGTGCTTCTAATATACACTTCTGATTTTTCTTGGAAAGTGGCATTGCCAGATTTGAAAGAAACAGGAAGAGACCAAGCAAGCTTATTGAAAGATCGAACAATTATTTTGACAGCAAAGCATAAAATTTTCAAATAAACTTAGGAGAATTTTGATTCCTGAAAGGACATGTTAAGCAATGTAATTTTTTTTTCTAAAGTTATTGCATTCGTTTTTCAGTAGATGTTTGTTAATATTTGACCTGGTTTTAGTTCCTTTGAAAGGTTTCCGTGCTTGTATGCCCATTTAGAGCTTCAGCTTTAAGATGTCAGACTGGGCCAGAAAGGGTAGATGAATTGAGTGCAAACTTTTAATTTTGAGCTTCCTATTGGAGTGACAAACCAATGATTCTGTACCCACATGCCTGGGAGCTCCCATTCCTCATTAAGCGTCTGTCAAGATTAGTGAGACGTCTGTGCTACAGAAAGTCTCAAAGCTGAACTAGCAGATAGCCTGAATTACTGTGCTTCTGACCTCTAAACCCCAGAGAATATGGTTGGCTTATAAGAGTGCAGCATAGTAAGTCTAAGTTCATCTTGCTCATGTCATCACTAACCTTTGCTAGGAGTACTGTGCATTAAAACACATTGTAAGACTTTCATTTTATGAGTCCGCATGCAGAGAATTGTAGAGCTTCTGTTTCCATATTAAAATAAACAGAAATTTAAAGATTCTTGTTGCCTTGCAAAAATAGAGAGATGGATATTGGCAGACGATTGTATCATTTTTGGACCTTTTGTAGGTTGGCAGTGTTAACCCAGCAGAAGATTTCAGAATTCTGGTGAGGCAGAAAAATGCTGACTTCAAAGACGGTAAATGACTTTTATCTATCTTAATTATATTTAGTAGCATCTTCAGGGTTCAGTAAATGCAATCCATTTGTCTAAACATAAGTTTCTAGTGCTATGTGAGATGCTCTGGAGTGAGTGGCTCTAGTGCCACTCAGCAAAGAAAGGTGTCACTCATAATTCCCATGTCAATATTTGCCTTCCCCATTTGAAAGTCTCAGATACCTGTGTTTGTGTAAGATGGCACTAGACAGCTACATTGAGGCATCTGAGCAACTCTTCAGGTGTTTCTGGCTGAAGATCCCGTGGTACTGACTGACTGCCTCATTCAAACTGGGTGTCAGCTTCTTACCTGGCTTCATGGGATCTTTCTGTCTTGAAGTGGAGGGATGCTGGCTGCGTGCGGTGTGAGAAACCTGTCTTCTACTGTCTACTTACTCTGTTCTATGAAGAAATAAGAATCTGATGCCTGGGATTTAAATCTTTACATGCAAAGATTGTTTCTTACTGCTTGTTGTGAGCAAAAGAAAGCATGGGTGAATTTAGGGTGTAATAAGCAGGTAGTATGTGACTCTTAAAGATGAAAGCAGGATCTGTGTGCACCAAATCTGTTTTCAGCGTACAGCAAGACAGGGTTTTGATGTAGAGGCGAGGAAGAATACAAAGCACAGGTCGGACAATGTCTTGCATGCCCTAAGTCTGAAAATGCAAAGGAATTATAATTTGTTTGTATGGTATTTCCCTACTGGAGTAACTATACAGAGATATATGTAATCCAAAGGTATCCTAAAAAGAATGCACAAGATGGATGGGGTCCTTTTTTCTTTTAAAGGGTGATTTGAAGGTTGTGGCAAGATAACCTCATCTGCCAAATAGCCACTAATGTAGCAGTTCTTTTCAAAGAAAAAGATTTGCAGAGGTGCTGAAGTGAGGTGCTGGGTATTTCAACAAGGCCTTTGGTCCTTTTGGACATAGTTTGAGGAGGGTGTTGAGTAGTATATTGATTTGTGATACAGCCTGTTAAAGCCTATATAGCTATTTCTCTCCAGTATTTCCAGACCTATAAGACAGCTGGCCAGCTTTTTACATGGATTTTGCATTAGATCCAGAAGAAATTGTTTATTGAAAAAATATTTGGAATTGTGTTCTCAAATCTCAGATATATTAAGATGCAGTAAAAAAGCATTGTACGATATATTAGAATACAGAAACTGTGAAACAGTTGACTGCTTTGTTACAGTAATTAATTTTATCATGTAGAAAAGCTTTAAGGCAGAAATAAGTATAGTGATTACCCTTGAAGACAGTTTAACTAAAGAGTGCTTAAATATGTTCACTTGGTAGCTGTGCTGGAGATAACTGCAGTACACGTTTGGATGGCTTCTGAAATTTTGAGCAATCTGTTTCTATTTTGTATGTGATCTGCTCTGTAATTATAAGGTGTAGTTAGGCAGAATGTAATGCAGTCAGAAGCCACTATAAATAAAAAAATGCTCTGCATATTATTTTTTTTCTTCTACATAATCTTTTTTCTGCTTTAGAGTCTTTTAGGTAGCTTAATACATAAAACATTACAGGCATGTTTTTAATGGCTTGCTGTATTGCATTCCGGTTATGTAAATGGTAAATTCTGCCTTAAAACTATTCAGTGGTTCTAAGGGGTTTTTTTAGTATAATTTTGTATCCTATTTAGTGATGAAACTTTTTTCCTCTGCTAGAACATGTGAAATGTAAAGTGTCTTTGCAGGAATGGATAATCTGGCATTCAAATATAGTTTATTGGAGGAAAAAAAAAACCTAATTACATTATATGTGTCAGGATGCAGACAGGACAACTATTAGGTTGCATCCTGTTTTGCTTCTTTCTTTTATAAAAAGAGTGTAGTCTTCCAAACTGAATAGAGCCTACATTCTCTGTTTAAAAAAGGCAACAATTCCTTCTTCCTCCCCTCCCCACAAAATAGCAACAGAGTCCCTCTGTAGGGAGGAGAAAGGGCTTTCAACTGTTTGCTTGGGGGTGGATTTTTTTGGTGGATAGAGAAGTTGTAGCAATAGGAAGAGTTGTACTTTAAATACTGACAGTACAGTGGCTTTTTAATTGAGCTGCAGGTTAATAGCACACATCCTCTTTAGTCCACAGCAAGTCTCTCACCAAAATTATAAAGTTATCAAGACCAAAGTACGGCAAGGGAATTTTTTTTAATTATTTTTTTAAACAGCTTGTAGGAAGTCCTGACAGTATATTTATCGTCGAAAATGAGTACCAATGCATCTCCTGCGGTGGCCTCACTGGGATTTGATGATCAGGGTTTGTGCCGTTCATAGCAGAAGCCTATGTGCAAGTTAGACAGCCCATGTCTGAATGCTGGGTCCCACGGCAGACCAGAGCAGGAGAAACACTGCATTCGCTGTTAGTGAGAACTGGGTCACTAATGTGTGAATAATTCCCCCCCCGAAAATCTTAGAGTTTCAAAGGGCCTTAGGGATAGGCTTTCTGAGACTGGCAGCTCAATTCCTGAAACAGCAATCAACTTTGTTTTTAATTGACATCTATGTAGTGTATTACAGTAGGGACCCACTTACGGCTTACGTGATGAGTTGTGTGTGAGGGTGTCAACTTACTGGTTAATTTTGATTGCTCATGTAACTAGCGTTGTGTTTCCCCTCCAGATATCTTTACTTTCTTGTTTGCATTCATGGCCAGAGAGATGTCATTTTATGCAGGTCTTATTTTGGGCAGGTTACAAGTGCACAGTCATCACAAAGAGCAGTCTTTTGATAACAGCTTCTGACATTTTTGTCAATGAATGCAAATAAAATAGATTAGTTTGCCTGAGTGGAATCTAATGATTACTCCCAAGGGTGCACAATGAATTTCTTCATTGCTGTGGCTGCAAAGAAGATTCTCAAATGCTGTGAGTGCTTGCCATCTTTGTAATGCCAAAGGAGTAGCCACATGACTACCAGTTCATCCTGTTTGACTATTTACAGGTTTCCATCCATGTCTGCATTTCTGGAGAGCAGAAGGTGTCTGATATGGGGTGTTGTATTTTCATATGCTTCTGTAGAAGATAGGATGGCTTAATGGGGGGTAAAAAAGATACTGGCACATGTATAGTATTTTCTTTGATTTGTAAGTTTTCTGTGCAAGTTTATAGGCCAGATTTCATTGCATCTTATAGGACTTCTATCTGAGAACTTGATGTCTGAAGTCCGGTAGTTGAGCTTTGTTTATTTTACTGATTGTCAGTGAAGAGAGAAATCTGCAATGACAACTATATCGTTTATGGACATAAGAAAAAATGTCCAGAGACAAATTGTATCAAATGCTCACTCTTATGTTTATAGCAAATTTGTTAATATTTTCATTCCTAGCCATTTCTAGAAAAATAAAGTTCAAAGAGTCAGTAACTGCATGTGTAGATTTCAGCAAATACTCTGTTGGGCCTGAGGTGTCACACTCTTGCCATGGCATGTAGATAGCTTCTTAAGTAAAATGTAAAACACTGGTTTTGCACTGGATGCTTTGTATCCATACAAGATTTGTGTATAAGAGATTTGCAATGGGAATTTATTAGGCAGTTGCAAGAATGATATTTTATTGCAAGATTTTCTGTAGAAATGTGTATAGCTAACTACTTTTCTAGACCCAAGATAATTTTTTAAAAAACCCTAGTATTTACTTTCACTTTTTGTTGGCATGTCTTTGCAGTTTGTCTGCATTTTCATTTTACTGGATGTTTTTGTGTATTTCGGGGACTATTCACGCTCTACTGCTAGGCAGGCCAAATGCAATGACTGGTTTGGTGAAAATGATTCAGTCATTGGAAGAGTATTTGCAAACCAAATACTTGAGTATATAAAATCACTTTGAAGTTTCCTGTACGTCTGCTTTAGAGAAGATGAAGCTAGATTCGTCTTTGAAGGGCATAGCGATTGGGTGAGATGCAAAGCTCTGAGTTGCAACAAACAGAATTTGGATTAGATGTTATGGGGAGGGGAAAAAAAAAATCACAATGATGGTAGTCAAACACGGAAAGAAGGGCCCAGAGAACTTGAAGACTCTCCATCTTTGGAACTACTTGGAACTCAAGTCAGGGGAACATTGAGCCACCTGATCCACAGTGACCCTGGTTTGAGCGGGGATTTGGACCGGATGTCCTTCAGACATCCAGCCTAAATCATTCTGATCTATACCCACAGGCCATTTAGGGAGACCATTTCAAAATTGAACAGCACGTCATAGGACACTGGAGTAGTTCAACAGCTCTTGATCTTAAAATTCTTATTTCTTGGCTTAAAGATGGAGGAAGTCCTTAAAAAATTAGGATGGTTTTCTGTTTATAATCTCTTTCTTCTTTTCAGTTCATTTTACTTGATGTTTTTGTGTATTTCGGGGACTATTCACGCTCTACTGCTAGGCAGGCCAAATGCAATGACTGGTTTGGTGAAAATGATTCAGTCATTGGAAGAGTATTTGCAAACCAAATACTTGAGTATATAAAATCACTTTGAAGTTTCCTGTACGTCTGCTTTAGAGAAGATGAAGCTAGATTCGTCTTTGAAGGGCATAGCGATTGGGTGAGATGCAAAGCTCTGAGTTGCAACAAACAGAATTTGGATTAGATGTTATGGGGAGGGGAAAAAAAAAATCACAATGATGGTAGTCAAACACGGAAAGAAGGGCCCAGAGAACTTGAAGACTCTCCATCTTTGGAACTACTTGGAACTCAAGTCAGGGGAACATTGAGCCACCTGATCCACAGTGACCCTGGTTTGAGCGGGGATTTGGACCGGATGTCCTTCAGACATCCAGCCTAAATCATTCTGATCTATACCCACAGGCCATTTAGGGAGACCATTTCAAAATTGAACAGCACGTCATAGGACACTGGAGTAGTTCAACAGCTCTTGATCTTAAAATTCTTATTTCTTGGCTTAAAGATGGAGGAAGTCCTTAAAAAATTAGGATGGTTTTCTGTTTATAATCTCTTTCTTCTTTTCAGTTACAAAAAGATGATACTTACTGAGCAGTAGTTTAAAATTTATTATCAGGTGGTTTAACTGATTTGTCAGTGATTTACTTTAAGCACTGTCCATTAACACAAATCAGTTCCACCACCAGTGGATAAATCAAAAGATTGGTAACAACAGGAGTCTTTTGTCTACAGAAAGAGCTATTTTTTTTTAACCTGATTAATTTTTTAGGGGGGAGGGGTAATCCCTAAGGAATTGGAACTTGGACTATAATATAGCCTTATCTATTATTGTGATGTAATCTGTTGGCATAATAATCAAGACCAAGGACTGAACTGAACAAACATGAAAATATAACTACACTTTTGTACTGTAACTATTCAGGGATAACAAGTGAATATAATTGTTCATGGCATATTTCACAAGAAAATGATGAACATATTTTAGAGTAGGGAATGTATCTGAATGCCAGTGGGGAAGGGATTAAATTCTGTTAGAACTAAAAGATCTCCTTCAAAGAGTTTTTTTTTTTTTGTTAACCTGTAGTTCTCCGGCCTTTAATCACTATGTTTATTATCTAACCAATCAGGTATAATAGAAGAGGGAAGCAGAAGATTAAAATTTCTTGGGATGATCTGCAGAACATGATGGTTATTAGGAGTGCTGGAATTCCAGTTTATGCAAAATACAGAATTTCGTTAGTTCACTTCCTTAAATGTGTGTGGGGGGGTGAGGGAAGTTGGGAGAGAAGAAAAAAAAGTTGTTGCTACACAGTAGTGGCCTGAATAGGCTGTCAGTTTGTAACTCTAGGACCTGGTCTTCCAAACCCCAATGCCTGAGATTTGTCTGGGACGCATCAGAGTTAATGCTAATATTCACAGCTTAGTTAGATAGACATCTTTATGCAGAACATGCCTTTCTCCAAAAACAGGGAGATTTATTTTTTGCAGCACCCAAACCCAAAGATTCACACTAATGCAAAGGCAGATGACAGGCAGCAGGAAATCAACAAAGTTCTCAGACCTGGAAGTGTAAAGGAACAGAGTCCACTTAGGAGAACTTCCAGTTATAATCATTACCTACCATCTCTGGTATTGTCTTTGGCCCCCTGAAGTAATTTGGTAGTCTAATCAGAACACAGGAATTTTATCTATTTTAGATTCATCAATCATTGGCCTGTCGTTTAAGGGAGATCCAATGGACAGACCCAATTTTAGCCAAGCTGTTTCAAGATGTTAGAAGAATCTGACTTAAAATATTGTTGCCATGTAACCTGTTTCCTGCATATATTATGGTCTTTCAGTGCCTAGTAAAACATTGTCGGGTTCTTTTGCTTCCTTACAACAGATTTCAAAAGGAGGCAGCTCACGGTCAGTAGCAAGAAAAAGTCTTCTGATGCCTGCCAGTGCAATCAAATAGAAAAGGATTTTAAAAAAATTAAATGCAAAAGAAGTAGTAGAGTGTCTGATCATTCAAACAGTATGCTGGAATCATTCTGACAATAAAGACTTTCATTGCACCTTCGTAGTGCCTGGAGTTTTAATTTAACACATCAGTGAAAAGGCAGCATTTAAAATAACCACCACCACCACCACTGAAAACACCAGCAGGACTTGCTTTTATTAGTGCAATTCGTAAGAAATTAGAACATTTAATGAGGAAATCGTTAACCATGAAAAAAATGGACTGACTTGACTTGGGGAGCTTAAGTAGTGAGACTTCTTCAATTTAGTTTGTCAGCTACTGGTAAAATAAATAAAAAGAGTGAGCTGATCACCTCTGGAGCAGTAGGCACTTTAGCACACTTTCTTGTGTGATAGCTGCTGTTGGACAGAACCATTATCCGCCTCCTTTTCTAGAAACTCTGTAGAGTCAAAAGCTAGTGGGAGAACATCAAACATGTCTTGTTTCACTCTTTTCAGAGATGCTATCCTTCAGATTCAGTTCAGTTAGGCATTTTATAGAACATGAATACAACAGCTAGCGCTGTGTATGCTTATAGTGAGGAGAGTGGAATACAGTATTTAAACAATGTCTGCTGCTTGGTGTGGTTACTTATCCTTGTCTCTTCCATCGCTCTGGCAGATGATTTTCTATGTTGATGTTTCCATGGCTGAAATAGTTGCAGTGACATATATGCCCATAACATCTGAATAGAAAAAGGGCTATAGGTCAGGCTAAAGGTAATCCAGTTACCTGTCTTTAACAGTACAAGAACAGGACAGGCAGATCCTGTGACTTGTCCAGAATGCTTTTCTGCATTTTCTTCCTCAATGGCAACATCATCTTTAATCTCTCTTGATAGAGTTCGTCTCTTAAGAATTCTAAGAATTTGTTCAAGTTTGCTCTTGTTTTGAGAGAGGCAGTGGACTATCGCTCCCTATTCATCCTGTTCACAGTGCTTCTGAGTTTATAGATCACTGTTGTATGCTCTTCACACCTGTCTTTTCCCAGGATGAGGTGTCTACCAGAGGGTAAAATTGGACAGTTCCTCACCTGTAATTAAACATGAAGAAAATAAAGTACTAAAATCCAGCAGAATTTAGTTGGGCTTTCAGAGCTCTTGATGACATTTTCACTTGTCACGTTTGCAGTGTTTTACAGCTACCTACCTTTTAGGAGCTCAGCAGTGAGGATGAAACTGGTGTTCCCCTTCTTGTTGGTACAAGTCTCACTGTTTGCCTCTGCTTCTCTCTGTCAGGCATGCACAGTTTATAATGCTTATCTCCATAATCACAAATAGCATTGCCCCGATGAAAAATCATCAAACTACCTGTACAGAGACAAGATATACTCTAACGTCAATAACAACAAGGTAGTCTTTTAACTCCAATCACCCTACAGCTGTTGTTTTGACATTGTTACACCTTCATTGTAAATTTAATGCTTTTATTGAAATATGCATGTATTTCAAAGGATGTTTAGGGGATATGCTTTGCGCTGTAGAACATAAACTCCCTCAGCTTTAGGATCCCGAATGTTCTGGTTTTACTTTCTATCAAACAAGCTAGGCCAGTGCTTTTTTTCTTGGCTTTCAGGGAAAGACTTTTGCCTTGGCCATGCTTGGGTTTCTTCCTAGTATATCTAGCTTTTCCAGAGAGGCTGAAGTAATTGTCAGTAGCTTAGATAACAATTATCGACACAAGTAGCTTGAGGTGGTATGGGTATGACTAACTCTTTTGATGCCTGTGGAATAGAAGAAGAGAGATGTAAAGGAAAAATATTTTTTTGCCTTGAAAGTGTGCATTCTTTCATTTATTTCTCCTTGTCTTTCAGTGAGTCAGCAGTTGATAAACCGCATTGATCAGTTCCTGGAAAATAAAGATTCACAGTACTACATGAAAGGGATCAGTTGTATCAGTGTTTTCAGAGAGGAGGCCATTAAGGTAATGTTAATATGTGAAAACTCATCTCTTTCAAATTCAAGACATGATGGGCCTGTTTCCTGTATTAGAGACTTGATAATTTCTTGCTACAGCAAAAAGAATTGATTCATAGATTAAAATCTGTTATCCTGTTTGAAAGTTTAGAAATATATTTGCATTTTATGTTTCTTTATTCTTACTGGAATGGGGACTAGCTTCTCTGGTATTATTTGCTGTTGTTTGTTTTCTTTTAAACATAAAAACACGAGGCCTGTGACCTGATGCTTGTAAAAGAAAAATAAGCAACCCTACAAACTTCTTCTTAAATAAAGCTAGTTACAAGAAAGTCTTTCTAGCTTTCTGAAAGGCAGTTTTTGTGGCTCACCATTCCTTAGAACTCTTGGGTTTAGTAGAGATAAAAACCAAAATCTGTAGTCACTTTTGTGTTCACAATGTTAGGTGACTTCATGAAGAATTGTTTGCAGTGCTCTTTAGTAGGCTACTTTAATATTTCTCTGTTGTCATTGCTGTTATTTTTTTCAGCTGTCCAAGGTGCAGTGCTTTAATGATTTTCTGCAGGCCCTGAAATCAAAGGTGGAAGATAAAGCCTTAGCTGATTTCTGGGAGATCATGATACAAGGTAGGATGGCATTTAAAAAAAAAAAAGTTTGTTGTATTATCCATTATGCAAGAGAAAACTTTGTTAGCAATGGGACACTTAAACTAACCACAGAGCAGCATTTTGATACGGTTCATTCGTGCAGCTTGTTTAAAAAAATAAAAAAAATCTTTCACGTTGCAACTTCCTTTTTTGCACTAATAGTTTCATATCAGCAATATCCATAATGCCTTGCCAAGTCTTGTTGAAATGGTAAATTAATTGTGGAAGAGGAGACACAAATTAAATGTTACAGGGCAATGAGAAGAAGATACAATTTCAGCTGAATTTCAGAGTAAGTGGAAAAAACTCATGCAGCAGAGATATAAAAAGATTCTTCCAAATTAAGCTTCAAAAAAGGCATAGATAGCATTGAAATATGTCACTGATCATTTTGTGTTTAAGCAACCTGAAGGACAGAATATGTGGTAGTATGACACCTACCTATGATTAAACTGGGAGATACAAGGCAGTGCAATTCCAAAAGACATTCAGAGACTACGCAAGTGATAAATAAAGGAACATTTTTCACAAATACAAAACATGGTGGACTAAAAAAAATCATTTCCGTCATACTCTTGTTTTTAATTGGAACCAGTGCTAAGAAAATCTGTTAAATGCCCAGCTGTATCTCTTAAGGGTGCATGCTATAAAATGCAATGATACGCTTTTGTATAGCGCCTTTCAAAGTGGCAAACTCCAGACACTCTGTAATGTCTACTTTGTCCAACTTTTTCAAAATACAAGATGGCAAGTTGTTTAGCAACCCAAAACAACAGCACAAGACAACACTGAAAGAATATTATATTCAGTAGTATTGTAGGGGACCTTCTCTGAAGAAATTTGAAAAAAAACCTCCAAAACAAACAAAAAAACCCCATCAAATTTTGAAAGTAGGAAACTTGGATCTTCCAAAGCCATGCCAGAATACTGTTTTAATAATTTTTAGCTGGTACAAATCAGATTTTTTAACAAACTGGAGTATATTTTTGAGAAAAAAAAATTACAAATACAGAGATGATATTTTAATACAAAATAGATTATCTTCTTGTGAGAAGCTTTATGCATAATCTAGTTGCTCTCACTAGGTAGCTGAAATTGCTTTTCGCTTGCTGCTAACAAAGCAGAAGTCCTGTTTTCCCTGCTTCTTGCCACATGAACCATCTACTCTTTTCTAACGTATGTGGCATGCGTTGGGCCTTTTCATGAGCAACTGCAATCACCAAAAGAGGATGGGTGTGAGTTAATGAGTTAGTGGCTCAGGAGCAATGCAGATCTTTTTCACAAGTTCACTTGTCTCATGAAACTCTGCCATGTAGTTCTATGGGCACGTTAAGGTGGCATTACACTTGTGCTGCTGCTGAAACCTGTATGGATCTATGGTTCTTTGCTCTCATACCCACAGCTTCTTTATTCAGGCATAAGCATTCGTGTAGCCAAGTGATGAGCTAGACTGGAAAAACTATTGGGGTAAAAAGTAATTGAGATTTTTAATTTTTTTTCTGGGGGTCGCTGCACAGGAAGGTGGTGCTGGCACAACAAAGGAGCAAAGTGGGGGCAGGACGAGCACTTTGGTAGTCAGACTGTAGGTAATCACAGCATAAGTGCTTGTGTGTTAGGAGTTAATTTTTATAAGGCTATTAAGAAAAGACTGAAGAGCATGCTGTGAATGACTAAAAGCGTAATTTCTGATAGATTTTCAGCATTTCATCTGTGATCTATGATTTCAGTGTCTCATTAGTTTGATTGTCATAATATTAGCGGTTTCCTAAATGGATACTTCCACAAGCTTATGAATATGCTCATTAATTTATTTTTATATCATAGTTGACTCATTTATGCAAGTCACATTTTCCTTTGAGCAATATTTTTTTATTTTTGCTGGTGATGATGACACATTCAGAAGTTGGAAGACTTTTTTCATTTCTAACGTTAAGTGCATTTTTTGGGAAGCCTTCTAATGATATTTTTATATCTCTTATTTTTTTTAGACAGAATTTCTTTGATCACTAAAGATGAAGCAGAGGGAAGTTTGGTGACTAGTGAAGAGGCTGAAAAGGTATAGTTTTTTTAATGAGCATCTATTTGTATAGAGCCCGTGCTGTGGAACAGAAGATTCTTTCTTATGTGGATAAATCTTTAGATGAATTAAATAGGATTCATATGAAGGAAGAAGAGTGTCCTTTTGCCACACAATTGAAATTGCCCCAATTCAGAGCAAAAATAATTGACTAGCATGTACCACAACATTTGCTTTAATTGGTCTTTAGAAAGTAGCATGTATTGACATCGTTATCTGAAAATATGCTCTACAAAGAATAGGAACTTCAGGAACTCAGTTTAGTGGAATAGCAATAGACTATTTGTGTATGCAAGATCACTATTTGAACTTCATAGAAAGAACTGTGATCTGTTATCACACGAGTACAAAAATCAGGATACTTTTTTGTCTAAAGGCATTGTGAACCCTAGCAATATAAAGTTGTTATGGCTAGTTTTCACCATATAGGCAATGATATCAGTATTTTCCACTTTATGCAGCTCTTGTGGATTGATGGACATCATAGATGATGCTGGTGATCATATTAGATCCTTTTGGAAACAAAAGTTTTGGAGTATTTGCAGGTATTCTTTCTACAGAAATATAACACTTCAGTAACTGCAGTGATGAATGAAGGATGTCACAGTGTGCTGGTTTTGGCTGGGGTAGAGTTAATTTTCTTCACAGTAGCTAGTATGGGGCTATGTTTTGGGTTTGTGCTGGAAACACTGTTGATAACACAAGGATGTTTTAGTAGAAGTTGGGAGGGGACACAGCTGGGACTGCTGACCCCAACTGACCAAAGGGATATTCCACACCATATGATGTCATGCTCAGCATATAAAGCTGAGGGAAGAAGAAGGAAGGGCGGGATGTTCAGAGTGGTGGCGTTTGTCTTCCCAAGTAACCGTTACGCGTGATGAAGCCCTGCTTTCCTGGAGATGGCTGAACACCTGCCTGCCGATGGCAAGTAGTGAATGAATTCCTTGTTTTGCTTTGCTTGCATGCACGGCTTTTGCTTTACCTATTAAACTGTCTCTATCTCAACCCACGAGTTTTCTCACTTTTCCCCTTCTGATTCTCTCCCCCATCCCATTGTGGGGGGAGTGAGCGAGCGGCTGCGTGGGGCTTAGTTGCTGGCTGGGGTCAAACCATGGCACACAGTTACAGAGGAGTGAATTCTAACAGGCAGAACGGTGCCTTCTGTTTGAAAGAAAGCAGAATTCAGAGTTGCTGTCAAAAATTGTATTTGTGTGGAGAGGATAAGACAGGCATTCTTGCATCAGGCTGCTAGCCATGATTTTAAATAGTTTAGGGGAAAGAAGGTCCTTGTTATGGACCCCTGAAGGTAAACCTGTGGCTAAAATCACTAAGTACTTTGCAGAGAAGCAGCTTTTCTAAAAGATGCCACATTGATTTTCGCAACTTCCAGGCCTTACATTAGCAGTAACCAGAAGGGGGTAGAAGTAGGTTCTCCATGAGTGAATTAATGAGTGGGTAAAAGGTTATATTTTAGAAACTGCTTTTTTCATCTGTAACAATTTACCTCAAGGTGAAGAAGGCACAGAGATCTCATAAAAACGAAAAGCTAACAAACTAAGAGTCCAGAAAGCTAAGTACATGTGCAGAGTAAAAATGACAGAACACGATGTTTTTTTCTAGACATGAAGGACCTACTGTCTGTTTCTCATCACACATAACTGTATAGAGCAACTTTTTTCCCCAGTGGTGGTTTTAAAGAGTATTAGTTTTTGTTACATATTCCAAATGCTATGAATTTAATTGGAAATTTCCTAAGACAATGTTTCTTGAGAACCTCCCTTTCTAGTCTGAAACTACTGTTGACGCTCAAAATGTGCTAATGCTGTGTGAAATAGCCACTATTACTTAAGGAAATCTCTACTAGCCATGAAGACCTTACAGCATACTGTTGTCTTAACTGTGAGCTTGTGGTGGCTAAAAAATACTGTGCCTGCATAGGAATGCAGCACAAATTATAGACTACCAAGGACTATGTTTACAGCTGTCAGGCTAAGCTGGAGCAAAGCATTTGTAGACTGACTTCAAAATTACTTTTTTGTTTAATGTCATCCTACCGTTAGCCAGGTGTTGCAATGCAGGAAATTATTTTGTGATTGATTGAAGGTCCTACAACAGCCATAACTTCCCTTTAAAACAAGGGAATAAGAGAGATGACATGAAATCAGCTCTGCAACAGACTTCTCTAACATGGCAGTTACCTTGACTTTAAGAATAAATGGATTGCATCTCTTTGCTAACTAGGCAGTTGGCAATCCCAGTTATTCACTAGATAACCACCTCCCCACACACTCTCCAGATCCAAAACCAGAACCCTGATTTGTCATTGAGAGTTTACATGACTTTTTACTTAAGAAACTGGAAGACTGCATCTTCTTGGAGTAAGATCTGCAGGGATAGAAAATTTTATCTTGAGGTTATGGGGCTGATCTAAAATCTAGTCCTCCTTGGTCCAGTTAAACACTGCCACAGGTTTCCTGTGTGATACAAAGCCAGCATTTTCCTAGGTCTACAGTAGATTGCAAAAATGGTTCATTTGTTTTCTATACTGAAGGTGATACCCTTCACTAAAAGGTTATATTGGATCATTTAAAATATCACACAATAGAGTAAGATGCAAGTTTTCTTCACCTCTGTAATAGGTCACATGCAAGCATGTAGGTCAAGGGATTGGCTGTCAGTGTGGTCCTATGTGACACAAAAGCCTTTTCTCTTATGTGCAGATCGCTAGCTGATAGCAGTTTCAGGACTGTTTTGGATATAAGACTTCAGGTTTATAGGCTTGCTGTCTGAAGGAGAAAGGAAGACTTACAAGGCCGCTTATTAGAGAGGTAACACGTAAAAATTTTCTTTTTCTTTTTGGTTGAGCTAGGTTATCCATGCATATTTTCCTATCACTGAGAAAAATTATTTTAGGTAGGCTGGAGTTTTTTTCTGTAATAGTGAAGATACTCTTTTTAGAGCATGAGGATGACAGGTTAAAAGAGCAGAAATGTCAAGTGCTTTTTCTGGTTGCTTTGGGGAAGACAATGGATTTCAGCACAACTATTACATGTAATTTGCTTTTGCATAAATGTAAAACAGGTTTTGGGAAAAAAACAGTTTTGGATGTTCAGCATTTGATGGAAACTTCAGGTTTCAATTTATTGCAAATCTTCATCATACATTTCTTTAGCTTTTAGCTTTCTCTACCTAATTTAGCGTGGGAAAGCTAATTTTGAAAACTTTGAAAAATGTGCTTCTTTCAGAAATACCATTTACTCTTAACTAACTGTGTAAACTGAAATTTGATCTGGCACAAAAAGCCTTTCAGAGCTGACAATGTCATTAGCTTTTAGTTTCGTAGAATGTGCTTTATATTACTACTAGATTGAAAACTTTTCCAGCAAAAAAGATACACTAATATACGGCATCTTGAAATTCTAATTCCTTCTGGCCCTGTCACCTTCTAATTTTTTTTGCAGCTACAAAATCTACATGAGAAGTTGAAGTCGGCTTGTTAAAACATGAGTGTTGTCTGTGGAATAAGCTTTCTGCGTTCCTCTTGGATGTTGCTGTTTAGGATGTAGGAAAGGTCTGACCTTTGGGTATTGAGACAACTAGGCAAAGGCTGTCTACATCCTCTGTCTTCGGTGTCAACCAAAAACAATGTATTTGCTTTTCATCCTAGTGGATATGATATCTGGTACTTTCCCACAAATGGGATGCAGCAGGTAGCTTCTCAGTGTTTTACCCTTTGTCTAAAGCTGTCACTGTTGCTCTAGAGAAGGATCAGAACATTTTATTTATGTAAAATAATATTTAAGCTTTTTACAGTACAAGTATGTGGTGGTTTAACCCTAGATGGCAACTAAGCACCATGCAGCCGCTCGCTCACTCCCCCCACAATGGGATGGGGGAGAGAATCAGAAGGGTAAAAGTGAGAAAACTCGTGGGTTGAGATAGAGACAGTTTAATAGCTAAAGCAAAAGCCGCACATGCAGGCAGAGCAAAACAAGGAATTCGTTCGCTGCTTCCCATCGGCAGGCAGGTGTTCAGCCATCTCCAGGAAAGCAGGGCTCCACCACACTTAACAGTCACTTGGGAAGACAAACACCATCACTCTGAACGTCCCCCCCTTCTTTCTTCTTCCCCCAGCTTTATATGCTGAGCATGACATCATATGGTGTGGAATATCCCTTTGGTCAGTTGGGGTCAGCTGTCCCGGCCGTGTCTCCTCCCAACTTCTTGTGCCCCCCCAGCCTCCTCGCTGTGGGGTTGAGTGAGAAGCAGAAAGGCCTTGACTCTGTGTAAGCACTGCTCAGCAGTAATGAAAACATCCCTGTGTTATCAACAGTGTTTCCAGCACAAATCCAAAACATAGCCCCATACTAGCTACTACGAAGAAAATTAACTCTACCCCAGCCAAAACCAGCACAAAGTATATTGTCTCAGAGACTGGTAGTGCTCTGATAGGGATCTCATGACCTTTTACACAACCTCCATGGCTGTTATGGTTGAAGTCCTCAGGTAAACAGTAGCTTGCTTTCAGGAGCCAGCTGTTTGCACAAGAGTTACCTAACTCTAAACAGGTATTTATAGCCTGTTTAATGTGGTTATTTTCTAACTAGCTGTTCTCTTTCATCATCTAGAGTCATAGTGAAATTGTTTATGAATTAAGGATGATGGAACTCGAAGTCATGGAATGTGGCTTTTCTTCCTCCCCAGCTTTCACAGACATCTTTTTATCTGGGGCAGGGTTGTTCCTGGCTCTGTATACTTGTTCTGGTGCATTTTAATAAGAAAAAGAAAATTTATGATTTTATAGTAAGGTATATTTATTTTGGTAAAGAGACCATAACTAAAACTTGTAGACGACTGGATATTTTTTAGTAAAAGTCAAGTATTTGTATTTTTTTTCTGCCATTCTAGCTAAATTATTATTTTTTTTCACTATGTTAGGCTAAGAGAAAAATAATTCAGAGGTGGTTGTACTCCAGATATTGTCTGTATGTTTGATTTCAGTTGTTATAGTATCTGAGCAACTTACCTTTATTTTCTATTTATGGATGCCATGCTTTAAGTGAAGGGGATATGGTGAGTTGTATCAGCAGCTACAGCAATAGAATTTTACATAACAAATTTTCCATTTTTAAAGACTGGCATTCTAACCATCTTGTCTGTTTGAGGGGTTTTTTAAAATTCATGTCTTTGTTCACTTGTTAAATGTTAATTGAATTAAATGGGAAATTTCTAAGTTCCACACAGAACTAGAATGTCGTACTTATGAAATTTGCTAAAGAAGCCATTGGTCAGCTTACGTATTCCTTTAGCATTTTGTAGCTACACACGATATTAGTTTTAAAATTATCTTTTTTAAGAACATAAACATGGCCATACTGTAATGGACAAAATTTCCATCTAGCCCAGAATCCCGTGTTTGACAGTGGACAATAACAGATGGGTAGAGAAAAGTGTACAGTCCCAGGCTCCAGCCACTGATGTCTCAAGTACTTCCTGTGCTTGAGGTTGTTTTTGTGGACTTAGTAGACTTCAAAGGATTTCTGTTCTATGAACTTTCCCCAACTCCTCGTGAGACTGGGGACTAATATTTGCAGTGTCCTTATTACAGGGTGTTCTACAGCTTAACCGTATGTTGTCTGAAGAACCATATCCTTTTGTCTGTTATTCAACACACTTCACCATAAAATCCTTTAAAAGCAAGTCTTATGAAATTTCCTGTACTTTATGATGATTTTGGAGGGTGGAAACCAGAACAAACTTCATTCGTAATTTTTAATTACAGGTGGATTTGTTTTGATATACAAAGGAGACGTTCTGTTCATTTAACATTAAGAGTCTGAGTTTTGTCAGTATCATAGATATACATTTGTGTTTTCAGTTCTTGGCTTCGAAAGAAAAGAAAAATGAAACTCTGCCTCCCACAGATGAAGGTGGTGATGTTGATGATCTGGTGAGTACCATAAAGACATGATGTGACTTTAGAATTAATCTGTAACTGAAAGGTGTAGTGAGAGAGAGCGAGTGCTTCTTAAAGATGTAGATTAGAGTGCATGGCTTAGAAAAAACCTAAGGAATTGAGTCAGAAAAGAGCCATGTGAAATTACTTATTTGCTATTGTAAAACATAACCAGGTGTGTAATTTCATGATGGCAAATACTATGTTATGTAGTTACACGGGTGTTTACATAGGTTAAACGTGTCCTCTAGCGTGTTTCAAAAGAGCCAGTGAGGCTGCTCATTTGATAGCAGATTGTTATAATTCAGTATAATAGCATTTAACAAAGCTTGTAGATCTAGAACAGCTATTTATGTGGGTTGAAAACTGAAAATCATTTTAAAAAAGATGTTTTGATCTTCTCAATTAACCTTCTCTATATAGGCTTGCTAAAATTCAAGGATTTCAAGAGGTTTTTTAATAAATATTTTAGTCATTTTTTACAGGCTGAGTCATTACAAATCTGTCTCCAAGGCTTAAGCTGATAGTGTAGACAGTTTTAAAGAACCTTCAATAGCAGGCAGATTTCTACTTTTGGACTGTACTTCTTTAAATCTGTAATTGCACATATGATTATGTGAAGATGAGATTTTTAGGTTTGTTTTTCTACTTTATAGCAGCTTAGTATTAAGTTCTGTGCAGTCCATTTATGTTACACGATAAGGATTTCCGAATTTGCTTCGTTTTCTAAGTGCTAAACATATGTAAGAAATAACTTGAATTCAATGCTGCTTCTTCCAAATCTGTTTCTTCTATTTGCAGCTGGACATGATGTGACTGGGTGATATATGGTGACTATACAAGCAAAGTTTTGGAAGAGATCTCCCTGTGAGATGGGGCACAAAACAGGATGCTAATGAGAAGGCAGTATATTCATCTTCATTTTCTCGAATGAGAGCAGAAGTCCCAGAGACATTTCCAGTTGGTATAAATGTCATCTGACTTCTCAAAACTAGAACAGAAGATTGAAATAATCTGAAGTATTTGTGAAGTAATGATACCTTTAAGGCGTCTTTTTTTTTTTTTCCCTTTTTTTTTTTCTCCTTTAGCACACTGGGTCTAGCTTATCCTTGGTATTGCTTTCAGCTAAACTACTAAATTTAATGAGAATTTGTGCTGGTGCCTGAAATTCTTGTTACGTTGCCTGGGAAGGAAGATAGAAATGTCACAGTGAGGTTACCAGGTAATGTTGAATCTTTAGTGGAGGTAACTCCATGGCATTGTTACAGAAAGGAAAAAGTCTCTATTTTCATGCTTTTTTCCTATTAAAAAAACAGAGCAAAAAAACCCACAAAGGCTTATGGGAAAAAATTCTAGGTCAAGGAGTCACAAAGTAATGGTTTGAAATACACAACAGAATCTGAAGCACACAGCAAAGCCAAGTGTGCTGATTTTGCCACATTGTACCCAAATCAGTAATTATGGTCATCTCTGTACTACAGGTTCTCTATCCTGTCAGCAGCAGCTCAACAGTATCTGTCTCTTTCTGTTATAGATTTTCCTGTTTCATTTTTTAGACTTTTAACTAGTACGGTTACTGTAGATACTCCTGATGTTAAAAGGATGAATGAATCAGTTATATCTCCATTTCATACACCGCAGATAACTACTAACACAGAGCAGAAGAATCCCTGAAAGCTGTACGCTGACACCTGTGATAGATAACTGATAATAGTTAACATTAGTAACCAAACTGGAATACTGTTTACACAGAGCAATCCAAACTGGTCAAATACTGGTCAAAGAAAGAGATACTCAAATTTGATTACAGATCTGGAGAGATGCTAATGACACCTTCACAGATGCTTGTTTGTTACAACCAGATTCATTCCTTTAAAAAATGTTCTTTCATTATTGCAAATGTATAAACATACTGTGCAAAATGGTATTAAGATCATAAAAAAGAAAAAAATCATGACCTGTACTTAAAAAATGTTTTGGAATATCTGCACTTTATACTGAACAACAGCTTCTGTGTGGAAATTGCTTTTTGCCCCTACCTCCCTACGCAGCAACCTGCTCTCTCTTCTCTTACATCCTGTTGTGATTGAGTTCATGCAGACTTTGAAAGGGTTTCTCAAATGCAGATGGCAGGGAGTAAGTGATCTTTCCAGACCTTTAGAACATTTGTGTCACCAGAAGATATTTTTCTGAACTGTAAATAAGAAATATTTGGTCAGTCCATTGTTTTGAATGTCTTTTAAGGCCAATTTATAGAGTATAACACTGGCTGGTTTTTTTTTTTTACATTTTATTAATTTGTTTGATTAATAAAATATTTAAAAATTTGCTTTTGTCTTCTTCAGAACCATGTTTGCTAAAATCAGATTATTAACTACCTATGCAGTACCTAAGAGAGACTATCAAAAGCCCCTTTTCTGGGTATACAATGCTAACACTACATATCAAAAGCCCTCTACAGAAGCCTAGTGTCCTACTTGTCCTATTCTTTACAAACTCTAAACTTCACAACACCCCAATAAAATACTTTTTACCATTTTGCAGAGACGATGAGAAGTCTTGGTCAAGACCAGACAGGATATAGAATTACTTTGCAAATCAAAATAAGGATTAGGGCTTTCTGTTCCTTTTGAACCAGTTGACCACATTTTGAGAGAGTATTGCTTCTAAAAAGCTTCTAAAAGCAATAAACATATAGTTCATGGAGTATTATTTCGTAGATCTTCTTGTTACCTGTACAGCACATTTAGGCTCAGTATGGTAACTGAGTTGCTAGTACTGAAAAGGGGAATGGGAATTTATAACTCATAGTTAAAACAAGTGAAAGCAAATTTTTAGAAGGCAAGCAAAGTGTCTTTCATTCTGCCCAGCTTTCTGGGTATCAGTCATCAGAAGCTTGTGATAGTAACGCTATTGAGTCTATCAGATAGCAACCTGATTTTACACTTGTTCTTTGGCAAAGGGCCAGCTTTCAGGTTCTCATTAAATGCCTGGAAGAGATCTTTCACTTAGTCTAAGCTCACATTTTCAGTTATAAAGTCTGACCTAGTTACTCACTAATTACATTGAGGATACTCATTCTGAATTGCAATACTAGCCAGTCCTTGGAAGCAATAGAGCAGTTAGTCTTCCACTTCAAAAGCAGACATGCAGGAAACGCCATGCAAATTTGTTTTCTTGTAAGCAGCAGAACATCCCCTGTCCTGTACTTCATTGCCAGAGAAATTATCAAAGTGTCTGAAAAAAGGAAAAGATAATGGCTGTGATTTTGTTATATGTTACTGATTTATTTTCTTTTTTCCCCTGGAAGGAATGCCTCTCTGCAAAGCTCTTTGGGTGCTAATAATATGGGACAGTAACCTTCGTTAACCTTGTTTGCTGAGCGATCAAAGCTTATGATTGTTGTATGTGTCTTTCTGTTAATCTACTGCTCTGATATTTCTTTAACTCATTGGGCAGTATCAGTCAGCTTTGATGGAAGGGCAGTGATTTCAGCATTGTGTTTTAAAAGATTTTTGTGAAAGTTGATGCTTGGAAGAGGTGAGAGGGAAAGGAATGGAAAGTTCAGCCTTTTTTCCCTCTTTGGCTGGCCTGGCAGTTGAGAGTACCAGCCAGCAAGCTAATCATCATGTCACATCAGCAATATCATGTGTTGCCTGGTCTGCAGCTCTTCCTTCTTCTCTTCCTCAATTAGAAGAGGAATGTGGACTAGAAAAGATATTTTGCAGCGTGAACTTTGGGAGGTGGAAAGTATCCAGAGGCATTATACCAGGAAGTGTAATTAATATGGGAGCTGGGGCCATAGCATGAAACTGTGAATACTCCACAGAAAGGACAAAATACTATTTTTGGGAGCCATAGAGGAAGAATGTGGCTCTTCCAGTAACAAGGTACCAGGAATCTGTAAGCAACCAGGATATATCAGTTCTGCTAATGAAGTGGGTTGCTCTGTCACTGAGTAGTGGGGTCTACTGACTCTGTAACACAGTTCTCAAGTCTTGTCTCATTCATTTTTGTACTCAGAAACCCAATTTGTGCTCTCAGACAGTTGTGAAAATGTCACAGAAGTAGTGGAAGATAACTTCCAAAATGTTACATAGTTGAAGACTTGTGATTTGTGTGGTACTAGATTGGCTTGAAATTAATTGTCAGGTCAACGGTATGGTGTCAACGTGTTTGAAGAGTTCTGGAAGCAAGGCTCCATCTCTGTCCTTACAGTGTGGCATAAAAGTATGACATATACCATCAAAACACTTCTAATGCAAGGAGATCTATTCTGCTGCACTGCAGTCTCTTAGTTGTCAGGGTAGATTTTCTTCTTGCTAACTTTCCTGATATTTTGTTTTTGGCAGAATTGTCTGTGTGGCGTTGGGGCAGGGTCTTTGGAATTAGAAAATGAGGAAGGAAATTCAGAGTTATCTGTGGAAGATTGGAGAAGTTATTTAGGCTGCAAATTCTGCAGACAGGGCCCATCTTTATATTCTGCATTTGCACATTGCTTAGCATAGCAGATCCTGCTCTTAGGATGAGGTTGCTGGCCACTACCACAAGCCAGATGATATAAGGTAAGGGAGGAGTTCCCTTGTGATCTCAGTTGGGTTGGGGGTAATCTGGAAAGAGGAAGAGTTTTGGCTTGTATTTTGTTAAGCTGGCAAATATACTGGTAGATATTCCTGTTGTGCTTATAAGCAATAGGGTTGTTTTGGTTTTGTTCCATCCCCCCACCCCCAGTGAAATAAGCAGTTAACTTTAGCTGTTGGTTTGTGACGGAGGAAAACTCATTTCCACCAAACTTTCAGCTTTGCTTCCTTTTCCCTTCTGTAGTCATTTTTCTTCTCTTGGTACTAGTACAGCATTAGCTGCATAATGGAGCGCAGCGTGTGGCAGCATTAACAAGAGGAAGTATCGGATGTAGAAAACCTCTTAAGTTTTCTCATCCCTCTTTTGAGATGCAGGTTACAAAGATTATTTTAAAAAAAAAAAAAGTTCCCAGCACTAGCAGGGGACTGGAGGCCCACCCAGGCCTGTGTTTCTAAATTCTTTGAAGAATTGCTGCATAGAAAAGAACAGCTTTCTTTGTAAGCCCCACCACTGGAAAGCTGCTAGTAAATGAAGACAGGCCTGACTTCTGCAAGAGGTTACTTGTCTTTCTAGGTGGTGGAGTTTATGTATGTAGTATTTCTGTGCGCTGTTTTGAAGGCAGCTTTGGGAGAAGCTCTGCACCAGTTTGGACTTTTCTTTTCCTGTAATTCTTGAACCTGAAAATTTTAGAGGAAAAGATTACCACATACTAAGGAAAATAAAGGAAACCAGAATAGGTGAAGTTTTCTTTTGTAATACTGTCATAATCTGATATGAAGAACTAAAATAGATATACTAAAAAAGTCAGGGCTGTGATTTTTAACTTCTCTTGATTTTCCCAAAGGATGAAAAACCACATTGAACTCTGCATAAAAATTTGGCATAGAGGCAGAGATACTCTTTACTGTACAAGAAGATTACTTGGAAAACATCTGAAAACATCCAAGCTTAGCTTAAAGTTTGACCATATTTTCCCCCCTCCACCCCCCCCCCCCCCCCCCCCCGCCTTTTACTGTTTTGGAATAGTACTTGCATTTATGAAAATAAAAGAACTAAACAAGAACTAGAAAACCTAGAAAACCTAGATTTCTAGTTTTTACAGACCAGACATAATTTTAGTGCACCTGTGAGCTGAGTGCCTTAAAATAGGCCCTTCAATCATCTGACTTTCTCTCTGCACATACTTACTGTACTTCAGTGATTTAAGTTGGACAGAAATTAATCTGCTGCCACTTCCCGATAACTTTGTGAAGCCAGCGTGACTAAGACACAGTGAAATGAATCCTGTTCCTTCTGGTGCCTCACCAGTACAATTCTCAGTTATTGACCATCAGAAGCATCTCTTTTATGAGCAGCCTAAAGTACTTTTTGCTGTTAGCAAATTGTGAATTATTTCACAGCACTAAAAAGTACTTAAATTTGTTCATACATATATATATTTACTGATGTAGTAATTCTTAGGACCCCTCTGTATGCACCAAGTCAGCTGTATGGACTCCTGTGAGAGTTTGGGAAGTCTATGATGGAATTGGTAGGTTGACCGTAGAAATGTATTTAATGTTGCTTTCAATGTATCAAACCAAAGGATTGTTTTTCTTCCTTATTTTTACGGAGTTCCAAGCCTGTCTCATCCTTTCTTCGTATTTTGATGCACAATAATAGGCAGTAATAACTGTCATTTCCTTTTCCTCCAGAAGGGAGTGAATCTTGCAACTTTCAAGATATTAACAGAAAACAGAAGTACCTCCAGTGTAGGGGTATAACTAGAAACATTTTCTATCTGCTGTCTGAGACAATGCATAAAGGGAGCACAAGCCCCCGAGGAGACCAACTGTGGTGCAGATATTTTTGCCTGAAGCATGTGGATCAGACATAATGCTAGGTAAAGTAAGGTAAAATAGCTGTAGTACTTAGTTGTTGGAGTTTTATATGGCTTGGATGTGTGAGAATTCCTCCTCTGGCCTGCTAATGCGAGTAGTCAAATGGCAAATATTCTCTCCCCACAGAGTGAGGTACATCCACAATGTGAAGAAATGGTATATAGCCCCCTGCACCATGTTGGCTTTTGACAAGGGTTATAGCAGCTATATCAGAATGCTTAGGGACCCTTTACTTACGAAAAAAGAGGGAGGGGGAAAGAATTTTTTTATTTGGTCCCAAGCAGGCCAGCATGGAAAGCCCTGATCTGAATGGGTAAGAGTCGGTCAACAGCTTTTCCCTGTGGTCCCTTAACACTGTGCATGAATCCACCGTGAATTTCATCTTCTAGCCCTCAGCCTTCCTGAATGTT